ATTTATAACCATGAATCAATCTAATTTAAATCAGCTACTAATTTCTGCTACACGTTCTGCTGTGTGAAATTAAATATTTACTAGTAAAGGTGTGAATAACACACAATTCACCAAAAATGTCAAAATAAAGTATTTTTTGTTGTTGGATATATTGATCGATATGGAAACATTTAATATATATATATTGGTATATACGATGTAACAATCTAACTTATAATCCCCGTATTCGATTTATATTGAATACCAGTAAACACCTCTAAATTGTTTGACATTTTCAAAGAATTAAAAAATAATAATATTGATTCTAAGGCATAATGTGCCTTTAAATTTACCTGTGGTGCCCGAAAGATCTGAAATGTAATTTCACTGTTTCTTTTCTTATCTATATTACGTCTTCAAAAAAAAATAAGAAAAAACAATTCTCACTTTACATAACATGTGTTTGAGTCTTATACAGTTATACTTCATTTGCTTGAACTTGGATTGCTCAAGTACCTGAATCCTTCACTTGAACTTACCGGCCAGTCTAGATAAAATTCCTATATAATATATATTGTTCTACCTCGGATCACTCTAACACCAATCGATTGGACACTCAAACCTGATCTCTGGTCCCTTTGGCAGAAATATAGTGAAAGTCACCTTTTTGGTGGAACACAAAAGACAACAAAAGTTACAGGCTGACATGTTGTGAATAAGTGACAATCAGCTTCAGGTTTTTTACACCTTGTGATTGTGATAAAGGCAATTAAGGTTAATTGATACAAAATTAGAGGTGTCAATACAACCAATTTTTTGTTAAAATATAATTGTATATTAAATTTTGCTGTCTTTATTAAATATACAAAGAAAATACCTTGCCAAAGAAATGAAATAGGCACAAGTCAATAAATGACATTTACTCGGTGAATGTTCATGTAATATCTATTGTAACCTTGTTGTTGATTATTTTATATAGAGTGGTATTTGTATGTGTTTATGTTAGTAAATGACTACAAATAGACGCTGCTGTAAAATGATTTGTTAATCTATTTAAAATAATATTTATCCCAAAATTAACATATAAATATATTTTGAACTTTGTTGTTCAACAACTTTGGAAAATGACTGCCAAATCAAATGAAACTAATTATAATATGCATGAATTAAGAAATAATATATCCCAAACAGTGAATGAATTGCATCGAATCAGCAAACAGTGATTTTTTTAAGCGATGAAATCACCGATTTGAATATATTATTTCGATTCGAACACGACATCAACAAATGAATGCTGCCGTTCTTGATTTTAAGCAAAATTGCCCCTGACTTGATTCCATACTTATTTTCAGTGCGTAACATTTTCAGCGGTTATGTCACATGTATAATGATATGTCACATGTCTAAATATAGAACGTCAACAGTGATATTATTGCATAGTAATACACACTTTCTGTTCTTCTATGTTCAATAGAGAAAAATGCGAAATGTGTTAGAATATAGATTAACACAGTGTACCCGGCAGTTAATACTCATCGGAATCAAAGGTATGTATTCTTTTGACAATAATTCATATTTAGAAAAAAAAAGATGTATCTCATTCTGACAAACTGATGCACTTATTATAATTTTTATAGACATATTTATCATTTCACCTATGTATGCTTGAAAAACTTCAGGTCTATGTCCTCTAATAGTCTATAAAATATGATAATACTTCAACCTTGGTTTGATTGAACTACTGATCTCTCAAATTTGCACAGATTCTCAGAGTTCAAAAGAACACATTTCACTGTTCTTTCAAAACTGCAATTTGGTTCCAATACAGCATTTATTGTGGCTACACGTACCTGTTCAACTTTCGATGTTTAAGTATGGCACCTTTTGACATCTAATATTCAGCTATTACAATTCATTCACAAATGTGCCTTCAACCAGTTATTGAATAAGTAACATAAAACTTACAAATATCACAATGAAAATGGTTGCACAATTTGTTATTGTTGTTTTGATTGATTCGGTAAAAATTAATAGTAAGGCTCAATCTATTGTTAAAATGTAAACATTAATTATTTAACTACTTTGTCAACAAAAACAAGAACTATTTCTATAGTTCTATCAGAAGTTTACACAGAAAACATCTCTATAATATTTATAATGCCACTACATCTAGATTATTGCCGTTTTACTCCATTTTCAAATTGAAATTGGCTCTCGAGCTTAGCCGTATTCAAATACACCACGCTTTGAATAATTATATGGGAACCAACATATTACCAAATGGCTCCAACCATAGCCATACTGGTTCTCATCTTTAAAGCACGGCGCTTTTGAATACGATAAGGCCATCCTTAAAAAAATGTTTGTTTGCAGTAACCCGACCCAGAATTTTCAAGGTGGGTAGGTAGGTCGATTTTTTTTTTTATTGAACTGTACTCCCAAATAAACATGGAATTTCAAAATGCTGGACAATATATGCTTTGATAATCTGGTAACAATTAATAAATTGATAACTGAATTCTAATTTAATAAGACCTACATTTTATTTCTTCTATTAACCTTTAAAAGAACGAAAACAAAGCACAAGGCATAATTTTCTGATTCAAAAAAAATTTTTTTTTTATCCAGACCATGAAAATTTGAGAAGGGGCAAATTTTGTGAGTCGGTCGCGTTACTGCAAACAAACATTTTTTTTAAGAATGGCCTAAAAGCTGGGAGTAAATGGTGTAAAACAGCGATAATCTTGATGTTTATTTCGCATGTTGCATTGTTTATATTGATATTGACGTTTAAAAATGGGCATCATCGTGCAGAATCATATCTTTTTTGTCAATGGACAAAAGTATTATGTGAAAATATTAAAAATAGAATAAAATAGATCTACATGGTTATATTGACGGTAGCTAGGTGATTTTTTCCGGCGAACCTTTTTATCTTGTGTATTATATATAGACATTGAAATAAGAATTTTTTTCAAAATGGCTTATATTTAGATTTTCTTGAGATATATATGATCAGTACATGTGCTGGGATTGTCAAATATACATTTTATTTGGATTTTTAACTAAAGGCATTTAGAGCTCCACACATCAAGTGTCTACCCAAGAACAACAACAACAACAACAGTAAATGGGAAAGTGTGCAAAACCGTTTCTAAACAGTCTTGTGCAAGATCCGGTAACCTAACCCAACTGATAAGGATTGCCTGTTGTCTGCTAATTAGGAAACTGTTTATCAGTGTACTGTCTACTGATGGTAGCAAGACACTTCACCCCCCAGACACTTCACCCCTCAAATTTTGAAGACACTTCACTCCTTAAGACACTTCACCCCCCAAAATCAGTAAGACACTTCACCCCTCATCCAATTTTTTTCTATAAAATAAATAAGTCAAGTTAATTTATAATTGCCAAATGATATACAAAGCACTTTCATCCATTAAGTTTTTATTGCATGTCACCTTGTTTATTCAACATGTTGATTGGTTGTTTATTCAACAGTAATCTCATAATTGATTAGATAATTGAATTAAAATGGTATTATTGTATGAAAATTAAATTTATTTATAATATTGAATAAATGAATAAAATGAATATGAATGAATGAATCGTTGCTTTATAAAATATAGTAAACATAAATTATTTATCATCATTATCAGACACAATTATCCTGCATTTAATACAAAGATCATTCCTATTGTCATTTATTAAACAAATAAATAGCACTAGTTATGTAAATTAAGCAAAAATTTTGGCACAAATTGTCACCAAAACTTCAAAAATTAAATCAACTCAAATTTTATTAGACAATGGGTTATACTTAAAATTACTTGAAAGTCTTTGTATGAGTTTGTATTGTTATTACTAGTAAGTCTTATATTATTTTTGCCATACTTCATGTGTTTTCTTTGTAAATGGCCATTTAGCAATTGATTTGCTGATGATGCAAATAAACTTGAAGCTATTCTGCTGTTATGATTACTCAAAAATATGAGCTAATTAAAGAAAATTATTCAGTAACATTAAAAGAATATGAGTTGCTTAAACTATTAATACATGATACATTTTTGTAATTAATTCAATAATCATAATTCATTACAGCTAATTAACAGCTTTGTTTTCCTGTTTTTGCTTTCAATCCATTAAACAAGATACTGTTAATTAAAGCCACAAAGTAAGTGTGAGAGAGATTATATATATACTTATTATATATATCAAAGGAATATTCATACAAAGGTTCACACACTACACTAGAAAGATTATTCTATTAGTTATATCACTTGTACTTGAATTGAAATTAGTATAAAATATATAAAAAATTAAAAAAATTACTTTCTACTATTAACTTTGTCATATGAGCCATTTTTGTTGGGCAAAAACAACAATATATCCATTGTCTTTGGTCAGTTAATGATAAAATAATGACAAAATATGTTAAAACAATAAGCATACTCAATCACTATTGAATGCATTTAACATTTTCTACATAAATAATTGTTAAACACAAAAAAAAATGAGGGGTGAAGTGTCTCAATCAAATTTCTAAAAATGAGGGATGAACTGTCTGAGGGGTGAAGTGTCTGCAATAAAGAGCCTAGGGTGAAGTGTCTGGGGGATGAAGTGTCTGTAAGCCCTACTTACTTTACTTTACTTTACTTTATCCAGCGTAGGGTCGCGAGATCAGAAATCTCTTATAACCCCCTCGAGGTCTAACACCCAGTGATTATTATCTGATTATCATGTTTTAGACTTAGGCCAGAAAAGGGGCAAATTCATCAGTCCCTATATTGCAATAAACTGAAAAATGTGTTATTTTATTAAGAATTACAGAGTCTGATGGAATACACCTCTAAATATGTCCAATCTGGTACTTACAGCTATGCCTATTATGTTAACCACTTTACGGCAGTACCCCACCCTCCAAGTTGACCAACAGATGGCGATCGATATATGCTAATGTGCTAATAATGAGATAATGACAGCTGTTGCCAACATTTACAATCAATACAATGAATACTTACATAGTTTTCCTTCTTGAAATAATTCACTATAACTGATCCTAATGCTCCCTTTCCACCATAAACTAAAATTCTTCCCGATAAAGCCATCTTCTCGACCTTGACCTGTGATAAAAGGAAAAGAAAACCGAAAAGAGCGGAATGTTAAACAAGTGTCTTTTCGTTTAATATGTAGTCAAAATGAATTAGCTGAATAAATAAATAAATTTTGAAATTTGCTGTCTGTACAAAAAAAATATAATGTTCTATTTAAAACTTTGAACAAAGATGTCTATATTTTTATGGTATTTTTAGAATGGCATGACGGCAATGGATTCTTCGTACGTACTGTACCTATCGTACTTCGTACCTTCTGCCTGGTTGTTTAGGGTCCATTGATGTAAAGTCCTTGGGTAGAATGAGTATTTTCAAGAGTTTATCTATAGTAGTTAAAATATACCTTTATGTGTAAATGTACTTATATTTGAGATTGAATACTGCATCAGCTTTTTATTGGAGTGTAGGACAAAAGCCCCCCCCCCCCCGGACGAAAGCCTCCCCTCCATCTAAAAATGACAAGGTGGAAAAAGCCCCCCCCCCCCCATGAAATTTACACATAGGACAAAAGCCCCCCCCCCCCATGGTAACTATATGTAAAAATAGTTTTAAATAATCAGTTTGTACATTCTTATTTGGTAAATTATGATATTTGTTTAGAATTTCAAATATTGATCAGATATCAATTATTTATGGTTGTAAATATCTTATATATTTTTCTTTTTTTTTCTGGAATGACTCCACCTGTTGTGCTTTCTGTTTTATATAAACTTTATTTTCATGGATGATTTTTTGATAGTTATATTGTTTAAGTTCGTAAGATTTACAATGAATAAAGTGTACTGTATTGTTTTATAAAGCAGACGATATTCTTTTGCATTTTCAGCGGTATACTCTAATAAGTGGTCAAAATAACAGAAAACAAAGGAAATATTGCTTCTTTGAATGCTTCTTTCTAATAATGATTTTAATGAACTAAGACTTTTTTAACCATTTTTTTTGTATTTTGATTTATTGTGTTTACTTTTTCATTAATCTCTTTTTACGTAAAGGATATCAAGTGTGCAGGAAAATACATCTATTGAAGATTTAAATAAGATAAAAAAATCTAGAAACATTGTGATCCTCAATAGCATTAATCACAACATAATAACATGAAAATTGCAGATTCAGTACTGTCAGTACATGAGGGATAATGAAAGAGTGCAAGATTCCTAAAGCCCTCAAGCACCGGCTTGATCCGTGCTCAATCTTCAAGACTTTAAGTGGTGGAATCAATGATCCCGAAGAACAGAAAAAATAAAACAACACAAAGTTAAGATCGGGCAACTTTTGGATAGCTGCTACATGGCTCTTGACACCTGTTGTTGTGAAGTATAAAAATGTGGAAAAAGTGTGACCTCTCGCAAGCATGGGGTCTTCCTTATATACTTATATATGTTGATTATCATGTTTTAACATTATAAAACAATATCGACTGTAGAATTTATAGTGTCAAGTTGTTTATTGGCGGGTTAGTGTTTATCTAACTGATTGATGCTTAAATTGTATATCAACTTTTCACATTTGCACCATAGGTGTTTGTGATAGTCATAAATCACATGAAATACCAGCGACATTGTGCAAGGTGCATGTTCATGATGTTGCCCATAAAATATTTAATGATCTTTTAAAAAAGGAAACAAAATATTTTTGTCTGGGACAAAAATACCACATCAAGTTTAAAACACACAATGCATCAAGTTTAGAAGTACATGAAATTAATGAAATAAGATATTCCAAGAAGAAATTTAATCATATAGACATATCACAAAGTCTTACTTATCACATTTGTTTGTGAAATAAATTATAATTAATCACAGAATTTCTTTGATATTCTATACAAACAAATTGTGAGACTACATTTTCAAGACATCATTATTTTATCATATTTATAGAAATATTATATGTACATATTGAAAATAAAATGTGTATAAGATATCAAAAATAGAAATTAGGTTTGACTTTAAATTGTTTAGAGCCGTGTATAAAAAGCAATAATTACTCACAGTGGTTGAATTTTCGGTGACGTCGAATAATCGCAACTAATGAAATTGTAGTCTTTCTAAAACTCCTCACAGTGAGTTGATTGACAGAGCTACGATGTGCAGCAAAGCAAATGAGGACCACTGTGTAGGAGATAGATCAGTCTACAGTTCATTTCGGTAGTAAATTCGTTCCGTAAGTTATACCCAACCGTTTTTACATGTCCTTGCGTATTTTACAAGTTTAAATGAAAATATTTTTTTAATTATAAATAATTTAACGATAAAACATAAAATTAAGCTTATGACCAGTATTAAGATTTACTTATGGTTACTTATGCAAAAAAAAAATACAAATAATCTTTTTCTCGTTCTTTCGGCGTGATTATCCGTGACGTCATTTTTTCCACCATAAGATGAGAAAATCCAACCACAACAAGAAACCTAACCAATAAATCGCACAACAGGCTAGCATAGAAGCTAACTTACTTCCATATATGACTTCTAGACATATTGTAGATAATTCATTATAGAAGAATATATCAATTCTGTGAAGCCGTTTGGCTAGAATGTCCCGTCATGAGGGTGAGTGCAGTTCAAGGTGCTTCAATCAAAATGGCTGGCAGTATTTTCTGAACGTACAGTGCTTGACACTTAGTTTCTTTTAAAGTCTTGACCACAGTGACATGTTCATTGACCGTAACGTGAAGTTAATTGTCAATCAAGACTTGTGTTCTGAAAGAGTAGTCCGTGCTTATCATTGCGTGGATTATGTAAATGGATTGGAAATTGTACTCCCTACTTTCACTTCCTTTTTATTCTCTTATTTAAGTTATAAGGCCTGTCATTAACATAAGAGCATAATAATAAAGGGACAGTGAATTATGTTCACGAGACAGCAAACACATTTGCATATTAGCATAGAAATGAAGAATAGATTTGACTTTGAGAAACTGAAAGTGGCCGAGATACAAATGTGAGAGAAGAAAGAGCATAAATTAAAAGGGTATAGATGGATAACGAAAATAAGAACCCGTCTAGGAAAATAAGATTTATTTTTGGAATAGTGCATTGATCTGTTTAATTAATTATGTATCTATCCATTGTTTGAATGATTTTACAGCAAATTAAATTTTCATGTAACCAAAAAAACAAACAACTAAAAATGTGAAGTTTGGGCCAAAAATAGCTACCTACGAAAATAGCTCAAATCGCTGTGTATAGCGAAAGTAATATTTATTTTTAAAAACGCATTTTTTTGTTGGTATTAAATGATTTGCATGAATGAAATAATAAGGAATGAAATGACTTAAAATGAAATATTAGAAGTGTGTTCGGTTAATATAAATAGTATAGAAAGAACGCATGCAAAAATAACTCCAGGTGGCGACTACAAAAATAAGATTTGTAAACATGGTTCATAACATTTATCAAAATCGTATTAATTGCAAATATGCTTGTTAGAATATAATCTTCTATTTTAAGTCAAGAAAGGTTTGTGGTAAAAAGAATCAAAATAAAAGCAAGAACTAACTAGTGCAAAAATAACCACAATCAACAATTACAAGAATAAGATCTACCGTACATAAAAATTAGGATATGTAAGAAAATAAAATCTATGCAGTATGCTACGAAAATAACATCTGTATGGAAATAAAAAATGTATGAATATGATGTACATACAAAAATAGGGTATGTACGAAATTATGGTATATACCAAAATAATTTTATTAATTTGATATATAAGTTATGAACCATGTAAATCTTATTTTCGTAGACGCCATTCTATACTATTTGGGATATTCACCATATTTGCTGCACAAACATTTGATATTTCATTACAAAACATTTCATCCTTTATTATTTCATTAATACAAATCATTTAATAACAACAAAAATACGTTTTAATACATTATAAAAGATAAATCTTATTTTCGTAGACCCGATCTTATTTTTAGCTCGACTATTCGATAAGAATAAGTAGAGCTATTGTAGTCACCCGAGCGTCGGCGTTGGTGTCCGCGTCGGCGTAACCACTTATGTTAAAGTTTTTGTAATAGTTCAAATATTTTCAAAGTCCATTGACATATGGCTTTGAAACTTTGCACACTTGTTCACCATCATGACCCAAACCTGTAGACAGGAGGAGGTAACTGTATCAAGCATTTTGACAGAATTATGCCCCTTTTTCGACTTAGAATTTATGTTAAAGTTTTTGTAATAGTTCGAATATTTTCAAAGTCCATTGACATATGGCTTTGAAACTTTGCACACTTGTTCACCATCATGACCCCAACCTGTAGACAGGAGGAGGTAACTGTATCAAGCATTTTGACAGAATTATGCCCCTTTTTCGACTTAGAATTTAGTTAAAGTTTTTGTAATAGTTCAAATATTTTCAAAGTCCATTGACATATGGCTTTGAAACTTTGCACACTTGTTCACCATCATGACCCCAACCTGTAGACAGGAGGAGGTAACTGTATCAAGCATTTTGACAGAATTATGCCCCTTTTTCGACTTAGAATTTACGTTAAAGTTTTTGTAATAGTTCAAATATTTTCAAAGTCCATTGACATATGGCTTTGAAACTTTGCACACTTGTTCACCATCATGACCCCAACCTGTAGACAGGAGGAGGTAATTGTATCAAGCATTTTTTTAATATCAAGCACTAAGAATAGTCGAGCGTTGCTGTCCTACCGACAGCTCTTGTTGCTTTACACGGTGATTTGAGCTATTTACGGCTCAAACTTCACTTTTTAAAATATATTTTTTGGTTCTGAAATTTAAGTTTGCTGTAAAATCATTCAAAGAATGCAATATATAACAGGAGACCCTTAAGAAAATCTTGCAATTTGCCTTTTGCAAAATAAAATGTTGATACACCTCGAGTATTGCCAAATTGTATGTATGTGCAGCAAAAAAATTGTCTGAGATTCCCCTCCAAGGGAAAATACCTAAAACAATTCCCTCTCCTACAGGTTAAGTTACTGTTTCCTTAATACACAGAATGATGAGTGTTCAAATAAACTTTATCTTTTCTGAATTGTTAATTATATGCAATGTTCATTTGATAGACATTGTTATTGATTGACTGGTTTTAAACTTTAGACTTACTTTGATTGCCCTGCTGAATTACAGGTGTTAGCTGTGATTCCTGTTTGAAAAGTAATTTCCGAGGGAAGAGATACAAATGTTTGATATGTTATGATTACGACTTGTGTGCAACATGTTACGAGGCCGGTGCAACCACTACTCGCCACACAACTGATCATCCTGTACAATGTATCATCACTAGATCAGATTTCGGTAAGTCACTGTAGTTAGTATAGTAATAAACATACCACATTTATAATTTTATTTCTTAATGTAGACAAAATCATCAAATGTCACCTTCTTTACATTTTGAATATCATTAATTTTTGTAGCTGTTGAAGCTTTGAAGTATTTTTATAAAATAGAAACCAAACAAAACTTTTATGTATGATTTTTCTTTTAAGTAAGTAAAATCTTTCACCAATGCTCATATAACTGAATTGATATGAAAATGTCTTTAAGGAATGAATGATTTATCATGACTAGATAATAAAAGTATGGTTGATATATATATGTGTATATATTTTTTACAGATATATTTTATGGTGGTGAAGCTTTAACTGCTGAGCAACCACAGGCTTTTTCTTGTCCATATTGTTCTAAAATGGGGTATACTGAGGCTTTATTACAGGAACATGTAACAGCAGAACATGCTGATACTTCAGTAGAAGTGGTAAGTATTGTTAATACTATTCTTTGCTTTAATTATCATTCAGTGATCAAATTATTACCAAACAGGGCTTTGTTTTCCTGAAACAAAATTCAGCCCTATTCACAGCATTTAAAGGTAGTCAAAAAATTTTAATTTCATGATTTTAACATAAAATTCTGGTGTGTCGTTTCTCAAAACACTTATTTTTTTGTGAAGCCCACTTGCAGTTGAATTGTCCTAGGTGTTACAATTATTGTTAGGTGAATGATTTTGCCTCAGCTAAAAATTTGCTACAGATTGAGAGATTTTCAAATAAATGTGGCACAAATGTTAACTTCATAGAGACACTGTTTCACACATGGTCCAATCATAAATCAAAGGTCTGGTGATATTTTTCTAGGATTTCTCTGCATTGAACTCTTCCCTAGGATTAGGTTTGAAAGTAATGGGTCACTGAGGACAAAAAGATAATATTCTCTACTTTTACTTTTAGAGAATATTAGAATTTTGATGATTAGTTACTTTGCATAGACCTCTTGTCTTTTAAAGTCAAGTCAATGAGGTTTAGGCATTTGAGGCTAGGGATAATTTTCTTACTTAATAGAATAATTATTTGATACTTAGTCACCAGGTAATGCAATTGATAAAGCATGCAGTTGTTACAATAAAATGTTGTAGAGGCTAAAATAGGTAAAGTAGGAAATGCATTACATTTTGGATGCCACAAGCCAAAATCAAGGAGTTAATGACTCGCTTACTTCCACTAATGGAAGCCATGTCGTGTGTTGCCTATAATATTCTTGTAAGGCTTGTTTATTTTGACATAATTTATTGCAGGTTTGTCCTATATGTGCTTCTTTACCTGGTGGTGATCCTAATCATGTTACAGATGACTTTGCTGCACATCTGACGTTAGAGCATAGAGCTCCAAGAGAATTCATATCCTTTCACATAAACAAAATCGCTGATTTCTTCCCCAATATACTTCATCTGAATAAACCAAAAGGTGTTCCTATGTATAGCCTCTGGTATTTACTAGATGCATGTTAAATTCAATTGAAATTAAAACTTATTATATAAAACTGCCTCCGTGGTCGAAGGGTTAGAGTTGATGACTTCTAATCCAGTTACCTCTCTGGCGTGGGTTCGATGCCTGGGAGATGCTTTGGTAGTTTAGCACGGAGGAAGGTAGTCTAGTACTGGTGTAACTCTCAAGGAATGATTTTTAGGAAACTACCCGCCTATATGACTGAAATACTGTTGGGAAAAGGCGTAAAATGACACAATCAAACAAAAGAAACTTTTTATAGAATGTGTGGGTAAATTCCATTCTCTGTGGTGTTGGATTTCAGGTTTTCCCCCTTTTATTCAGATTTATCTTGCTATATTTTTCACTTTGGAAAGCCACAGGTTGTTTTGAAAATTGAAAATAATAATGTTATTGAAAGAAAGTATTGCTTAATAAGAAATGCCCATGCAAGAGCCTGTTGATTTGTCTAATTATAATACATTGATTAACTTCAGTATGCTTATATATTTTATTTAAAGGTAGAACTTTGGCTTCTTAGTAAATGTATGGTCATTGATCTTTATTATAGCCCCCACAACATAATGTTAGAAATACAGTTAGATTTGTTAAGAAACAATAGAATAAGGGGTGGCATTGCCAAGTAGCTAACACTTTGGACTAGTAATCAAAGAATCGCTTTCAGTGTGGTTCGAAACCCTATCAGGAGCAAGCCTTTGTTTCTTTGAGCAAGAAGCTTTACATTAATTGCTCAGTACTGGTTAGGTCCAGGATAGGATTCCATAGTGAGTTTATAACTATTATAAGCTATTGGCTTCCTCCACAATCAAACTAAAATAAAAACCTTGTAAACTATTACTTATAACTTGTGGCATTTGCTCTTTGAACAAAGTCAAATGTCAGATAATTTTGTGTCTGCATTATAAATCCTGTATCGCAATAAGATTTTTTTCAACTTTGGTTTATGTTCGCCTCAACAAGATGATTTGCTAAACCAGTGTGGCTCTATGCCCTCTGAAGGACAAGGTGACCCTTAAGGTTTAAATGTTTTGTGTCCACTCTATAAGTGTGAAGTGTATTGTAAAAGAATTAGCCAGTGAACCATTAACAAATGTTTGACCTTAACTTTGTGTACGAGGAACCAACTGGTATTCGTCATGTGAGAAGAATTCCACATCCAGGTCGGGGTGTGAGCGGTACACGAACAAGGCGTGCAACAAATATGCACTTTTCCTCTGGTGGGAATACCTTGACAGGGTTGTCTCCAAGTGGGCGGGAAGCAATGGACCCAATAGCAGAGTTATTATCACAACTTTCGAGTGTACGGAGCCGGGCTGCAGCGGCCCAAAGTGTCACATCACAGTTACAACAGCTTGAGATGCAGCTGCAGACAACCAGGTAATTTGCTTGTCCTTAAAACAGTTAACTTCTCCCAATATATTGATTTGGTTTGTATCTTATAATTCAAGGTGTTCATCTTAAAGGGGCAACATTCGCTGCCGCGGCAGCGAGTATTTGTGGGTGTGACTAATCAGTGATGTAAAACTGTCTGTTATAAACCCTGAACTATAAATAGCATGCAGTGTTAACCTGCAGAGAGAATGTAAACAAAAACAGCTGATTTTACACAGGAGAGGTTTAATGGATGTTTTATATAACTCAAAGATTAATTAAAGACATTATCAAGTCATCTTGTCCAGATATTATTTTTGAAGTCAGTTGTTTTTCTTTTTTTTTCACTGGAATGCTGTATGTGTCCTTCATCAAGTCAGACAATCATATCAAAATCCAAAAGATGTGCCTTACATGGGGCATTTCTTTTAGGAACAACCTGCTAAAAATGTTCTTGACAGGAATTTAAAATATTTTTAAACTGTAAATGTATAAAAATTTTATGCATATGCAACATTTAGTTTGATTAACATTTGTGAAATGTACTTTTTGACTACAAAATATTTACAACAAAATATAGTGTAAATGAAATATACCTGGAAGTTACTTTACTGTTTTCATGAAGTTTAAACCATTCAAATACAAGTTAAATCAGTACTTTGAAATTTAAAAAAAAATCATAGATTAATGGATTATTGTAAATTTGTTGGATTTGATAAAGCAAGTCAGTAAAAGTTATTGTTTTATTCAGCATTCCAATGTGTCGTCTGCTGAAAATCTCCCTCCCTGAAATATACATCGTCTGCTACAAATAAACACTGCCACGTGCTTCTGTTTACTACTGAAGGTTCATGACCTGTAATGATCACATGGCTCCTCCCAGGGAAATTCAAATTTCAAATTAGACAGCCAGTATTTTTTTCCAGAAATACACTTAACAAAGTTATATTTTGAATAATTTTGGTCAATCTTTATCAAAAATATCTATGCCTACAAACATGCCAAGTGTTGTTTTAATGCATTTGGTAATTAATCTTAAATCTTTGAAAAAGGGTCCCTGAAGTGAAGCATGCAATTAATAAGAAACCTGCCCTAGCGCCATCTGCTGGCTTTTATAGTCCAGTTGGGCCTTTAAGAATATAAAAAGATTTAAATATCCCCAGTCAGAAAAATAATCAGTCCCGTGCTTTAAACAGGTCTTCATTAAGTTTCAAAATTTGGAAGTCAGAGACTGCAAAATCTCTGATATTGGAAGTCACATTATATAGGTAAAGAAGGAAAGTATTAGATTTTGGAAGTCACAAGCCAAAATCAAGGAGTAAATGACCCACAAACTTTTATTTACGGAAGCCCTGTTTAAATTAGGAAAATATATGCAGCATTTTTTAGGGATTAAACGATGTTTTAGGGATTAAACGATGATCGAGTATAATCGAAAATTGATTGTTTAAAGGACCGATCGGCGATGATCGATTACAAGGTTTAATAATCGATCATCGGTAATTTATTTTTTTGCTGTTACTTAAGTGACTCACTGTATTATAACAACACTCTAAATTAAAGCCAGCTTTGGTTGAAACAATAATTTGCATTCAATTGAATATGAAAGCATACTGGTGACCATGGAGTTAATAGTCGACAGTGAGGCATTCAAGTTTAAAGATATACTATGCTCAAATTTGACATTAGAAAATATTTAGAATTGCTACACAGTCTATTTGTAAATATAAAATAAACATGTTTTGACTTCACACAAAGAAGATATGTTATGTATAAAATTATTTTACACACTAAAGGTAGTTACAATATCAATATATAGTGTCATTAAAAAAAACCTGACAGTTTTGAAAGAACCAACTTAACTTGTTCCCATACATAGTTTATTCATTCCTTTATTGAAATTGAGACATAATAATTTTATAGATTTTAATGAATTTATTTGATTAAAATATTTTACTCAAGGATGAGCATAGTATATCTGTAAACTAGTTTATTTCAGTTGATAAAGTTGTAGTTACACAAAATATAGAATATTAATGGAATTCTAATAAATATTAAAGCATGATATGTACATTGTACATATTAACTTTGTTATTGTAAATATTTCGATTATATAATCGATGATTGATCGAAAAGGGTTGTTCGATTATTTTCGGTGATCGATTATGATTTTTTTCCGATTAAGAAACCGAAATTTTCCTAACTGTCATGACCAATTCACTTTAAACAGCATTTCTTAAATCACATTGATTCACAGATGATCCTCTACAAAACTGAGATCTTTATTTCCTGACTTGATTTAGCATGTGTGTAACTGATAAATGTTTTAATAGTAAATCTTTTAGAAAACTTTATTATTTACATAAATTTGTCTCAAAAATATGAACAACTGCATCTTGAATAAAAAAAAATCAGGAATAAAAAAAATACTTAAGTATCATAAAAGTAAGATATTTGTCTGGTTAAAGAATACTTCAACTGTTTACTTTCAACAAATACATGATGAAATATCAAAGTGAAAATTTGATTACAATTTTATGTTTTTGTTTCAATAATTGATAATGTGAGCAATCACAGTGTTCCTTTGATTTTCAGGCAACAGTTGGAGCGTACTCCGAGGAGACAGGCAGATGCGGCCAAAACAACAGCAGCTGCTGGGGTAACAGCTAATGCTGATAGCCAGGCTGCTGCAAGCACTGGAAACAATAACAATTCTAGTTCAAATTCCTTGTATCTTCTTTCAAGGTAAGTTTTCTAGAATACTATGTTTTAATTTTATTAATAGATGTATAACTTTATGCTTAGTGCTGAATGTTGGCTGTTGAGACAAGGCTGCATTTTTAGCTCACCTGTCACAAAGTGACAGGGTGAGCTTTTGTGATCGCTTTTCGTCCGGCGTCCGTCCGTAAACTTTTACTTTAAATGACATCTCCTCATAAACCACTAAGCCAATTTCATCCAAACTTCACAGGAATGTTCCTTTGGTGGTCACCTTTAAAAATTGTTCAAAGAATTTAATTCCATGCAGAACTCTGGTTGCCATGGCAACCAAAAGAAAAAACTTTAAATATCTTCTTTTAAAAAACCCAAAGAGCTAGAGCTTAGATATTTGGCATGAAACATCTTCTAGTGAGTGTCTACCAAGTTTGTTCAAATAAAAGCCCTGGGGTCAAAATTGGCCCCGCCCCAGGGGGTCATTGATTTTCCCTATATGCATATAGTAAAAACTTAAAAAATCTTCTTTAAAACAGGGTTCCCACGCTGTCCGGGAAAACGGGAAATGTCCGTGAATTTGAAAACAGGAGCTCCCGGCCTTGAAAAGTCCGGGAATTAGTGTTGCTACATAAAAAAAGTCCGGGAAGGTACGGGAATTAGTCTGGAAAAGGGGAGGTAAATCAAAGAAACCAAAATGGCGGTCTTTGCACAGTATATTGACTTCCGCATCTTGAATGTTGATGATTTTCGATTTACAACTGTTTTGGGAGGCCAAGTTTGACATTTATGAGATTTATCATTTATTTTCTGGTTACTATGGCGGTTTTGTTTGGAAAATCTAGGAAGACAGTCACAAATCAACCACAAGTTTGCCGCCTCCGTGGTCGAGGGGTTAGAGTCAATGACTTCTAATACAGTTACCTCTCTGGCGTGGGTTCGATCCCCGGGAGATGCTTTGGTAGTTTAGCGCGGAGGAAGGTAGTCTAGTACTGGTGTAACTCTCCAGGAACGATGGTTAGGAAACTACCCGCCTATATGACTGAAATACTGTTGAAAAAGGCGTAAAACAAACAAACAAACAAACAGCTTGATTGGCCCGTGCTAAGATGAAAGCTCACAGGTCTGGTTCTTCTTCTTCTTCTTCTTCTTCCAATACTGTACATAACCTACTCTGGGGCATTGACATACAGGGTAAATGGTTGTTTCCTTTGGCAAATTATATACATTTTTGAACCAAAATATACCCAAATACAGTATACTCCATTAAAGCTATTAAATTAAAAAAATAATACGAATGAACTTGTATGAAATTTCAACAAAATTATACCCTACAAATTTAAATGTAGACAACAAATATTATCATATCTTGCAAGTACATTTGCCTATTCATTAATGAACCTAACAGTTAGATAAGCAAATGTCACATTTTTTTTCTTACAACATCTGAACTGCCAATTTCAATGGAATGATCGAAAGTATAGTTGGCTAAGTCATATTATTTTGTAAATATCAATTCATTTTCTCATTAAAATCAATATTGTATACAAACCAAATGAATATTGCTATAATTTAGTGTGTTTGGGTATATTTGGGTATTTCATGCTGCCGCTATATTTTGTAGATGGTTTAAAAAATTGTAAGATCAAATCAAAAGATATGTCATTGAAATACAAAAAAGAATCCCTAAATAACATCCAAAACGGCAAAATTGAAAATGTTGTAGACTAGGACTTGATATATGTTCATATATGGTACTGGAAAGTGCTGCCCGTAGCACTGGCTTAAGCAGAATACAATATTTTAACATGAAAGTCGTGAAATTTTGAATGTAGAAACACCTGCAGGCAGTTTTCATATACCCTTCAGTGTGACATGCTTTTGCCATTCTATGAAGCCTTAGTGGACTGAGGTCAAATGTGAGGTTACTTATTAAATTACTATGAATATCTGGTAAAAAAGTGATCCCTTGGAAGCATTAAAAACAGCAAAATTACATGAACAAAAACAGTTGCTGTCACAAAGTACATTTCATTATTATAGACACTGAATGTATTTCTTAGATAGAATTAGATTTATGTCATGAACTACATGTATTATATTGGTGTTATTAAATGTTGTTCTAAACATTACCATGAACATATTCATAGGACAAAAAAATCAAATACATGTAGCTTGAAATTTAATCTTCTAAAAAGTCCTTAAAAAATCAAAAAAGGTCCTTGATAAGTCCTGGAAAAGTCCTTAAATTTTCAAAATATCTAAGAGTGGGAAACCTGTTAAAAGAACCCATAGAGCTAAGATATTTAGCATGAAACATGTTCTAATGGGTGTCTACCAAGTTTGTTCAAATAAAAGCCCTTGGGTCAAAATTGGCCCGCCCCGCCCCAGGGGGTCATTGATTTTCCCTATATGGATATAGTAAAAACTTAAAAAATCTTCTTTTAAAGAACCCAAAGAGCTAGAGCTAAGATATTTAGCATGAAACATGTTCTAATGGGTGTCTACAAAGTTTGTTCAAAATAAAGCTCTGGGGTTTAAATTGGCCCCGCCCAAGGGGGTCATTGATTTTCCCTATATGCATATAGCAAAAACTTAAAAAATCTTCTTTGAAAAAACCCAAATAGCTAGAGTTTAGATATTAAGCATGAAACATCTTCTAGTGAGTGTCTACCAAGTTTGTTCAAATAAAAGCCCTGGGGTCAAAATTGGCCCCGCCCCAGGGGGTCATTGATTTTCCCTATATGCATATATTAAAAACTTAAAAAATCTTCTTTTAAAGAACCCAAAGAGCTAGAGCTAAAATATTTAGCATGAAACATGTTCTAATGGGTGTCTACAAAGTTTGTTCAAATAAAAGCACTGGGGTCAAAATTGGCCCCGCCCCGGGGGTCATTGATTTTCCTTATATGTGTATGGCAAAAACTTAAAATCTTCTTTGAAAAAACCCAAATAGCTAGAGTTTAGATATTAAGAATGAAACATCTTCTAGTAAGTGTCTACAAAGTTTGTTCAAATAAAAGCCCTGGGGTTAAAACTGGCCCCGCTCAAGAGGTGTCATTGTTTTTAACTATATGTGTATAGTAAAAACTTAAAAAATCTTCTTTTAAAAACTTAATGAGCTAGAGGTTAGATTTTAAGCAGGAAACATCTTTTTGTTGGTGTCTACCAAGTTTGTCCAAATAAAAGCCCTTGGGTTTAAATTGGCCCTGCCAAAGGGGGGGGGGGGGGGGGGGGGTGGAGGTCATTGTTTTTCATTATATGTGTGTAGTAAAAACTTAACATCATGAAACATCTTCTAATGGGTGTCTTCCAATTTTGCTCAAATAAAAGCCCTGGGGTTTAAACTGGCCCCGCTCCGGGGGCCTATATACAGGTGAGCAATCTCAGGGCCATCATGACCCTTTTGTTATAAAAAAAAAGAAGAAGGAATTTGTCAGCTAAATACATTTGTCTACAAATTGTTTGTATGTTTGCATTTATTATGAGTATTTATTATTTAGTACAATAAAGTACTAATACAGAATTTAAAAAGGTTTGCAGTTGCCTCATAGTAAATGTCAGACTGAAAAATGTGATAATGTGGTTCTTAGGCAGCAAACAAAACCATTTTTCTTTTTGCTCATAAGAATATAATAATCTTGTTTAATTTACTTATAACATTTGTTCTTTCAAAAAATAAAAATATGTACTATGGTCTATATAAAGGTAATTATAAATGTAAAATGTCATTCATTATAGATGTACAGAACCTGTGATAGATGAAAGTTCTACAGAAATACAACAAGAACGATCCAACCGTAGCTTGTTTGTTCAGGAGCTGCTTCTGTCTACTCTAACAGAACAATTACAAATCAATGATAATACGTTAGAAAATATTGATAAACTCACAGAAACAATTGCCTCCACATCATTATCAGACGGAAGTGAAAAAGTAAATAGTGGTTCTTCTGCCCCTTCCGAAGGGTCAGAGTCATCGGCAAAAGAAAGTGCAGTGGTTACTACAAAAATTTCATTAGAGTCTGTTAGTCAAAACAACGGGGGAGCGACGGGTGTAAGTAGTAAAACTATAGGAGTTAAGACAGTTGATAAAGCTGGTACTAAACAAAAAGCTTCAAGCAGTTTCACACCTCAAAATGGAAAGGGGGCAACGGGGAGTCAGTCAAATCGAGGGGTAAGGCAAAGCTCTCTTCATTACCAAAGCCAGGGTGAACGGGATCGACACAGTCAAACCTTGCACAGTATGCGGCAAGGTGCGATGATGCAAAATGCTGTAGATTTGTCAAATAATTTATCATTAAATGTAGGTAGGGGTGGTGGTTCTGGGTACGATACAGCAGACAACCCACAGCCGTTACCAGGGAGACCAGGGTCCGCTGGGAGAGATAGAGATGGGCGTATTAACCCACCTACTGCAAAGAGAAATATGGTGAAGCATTTACCCGCTACAAAAGCATCGGACCGGGAGCCACCACCTCACTGAAAACAAAACGTATAGAGACATAAAAAAAACACTGATTTATAAACAAAATTATGTATAGTTGAATTTGTTTTCCCTTTAAATGTATTGTGGATTTATATGATCAATTTATTTATTGACCTTTAGGAATAACACTTGGGTGCATATTTAGATTTTGGACTCTTTGTGATTGTAAGGATATATTCAAACTGACTTTGTGCACAAGACTTTAAACTTCAGCCATGTGCTTTCATTGCTTGCTCACTTTATTTCACAGGGGGTAGGCTGGATTCTTAGTATAGAGAAAGAGGCAAAATTCCCGTGAAGTCGGGTTTTACTATAATTTTCATATTTTATGTTATTATAGATTAAATCATGTGTTACTTTTTACTCTCTAATCATAAGACAATGTTATTAGGAGATACCAAGTTTGATTAATTCTTTATAATCATTATTTGAAGTTTCTTTAATTTTTTCTTTGAACACTTGTTATTTGTTTAGAAGTAAAAAATAATAGCATGTGCAATACTGCAGCATGTGATAGTATCATAGTAGAGATATATATTCCTGCAATGTTTGGAAAGCATTTTAGCACGAAAAGGCACACCAAAAATTTACACCTATTAAATCTTTAACAAATAATGGTAACGTTGTTTTAACTATAATTTGTGAATGTTATATTGTTCGTGAACAGTTTTGATATGTCAAAATAATTCTTTCAAGTTGATTTTACTTGATGTTTAAAGTTCTTTTTATTTCACTTTTATCGTTTATAAACTCTTGTCAGGGTTCATTTGTACCTTTGACTTGTTGATGAGCAGGAATTTCTGATAAGTTTTGCAAACAAATATTAAAGCAAGATGATAGGGTAAGAATGGTTAATATGCCTGCCTCACCTTGTGAGGATCTTTCTAATTTACACCTATGGAACACCATATGGCTGCTATGATAGTGATTACAATAGGATAAAGGTACTTGGTACAATCGTGCTCAACATTATATACATCATCATAGCCAATTTAAAGAGTAAATAACTAAACTGAATTCTAAACAAACCTGTATGTTTACATTGCAAACAACTAACAATACTTAATTTATTTTTTCTATGTATGAGAGGCGTTAAAGTTGAATTAAAAGACAATGTGTAATATAAATAAGGATCATTTTTCATTAAAACTTTTTTTTATGATGAATTTATGTGCACACATGTTACTACATTTCTCTTCCATTGTTTTAACTTAATTCTGGGATATTTTTTCATACATTTTCCATCTTCACTTGATATATTTAAGCAGGTATTTAGATAACATGTGCATCCACTTTTACAAATGCATATCCTAATTATCATTTGTCTTGATAATTTTTTTTTTTTTTTTTGAAGTTACATTTTCTTGTATGAAATATACCCAAATATTCTTAATTGTTTGCTTATGTATGTACATGGTTTGTACAGTGTAATGTGGACAATAATATTTTATCTCCCAGAAAATTTTTAATCTGTTGGGATTTACCCATTGCCATAAATCATCGTTAGGAAGTACTCTTTCTTAAATTCATTAAAATAATATATTTGTACTGTTTAAAGGTCACAATTATTATTGGTACAGTCATTATCAGAAACTTGTAGATTTCTTAATGAATAATATATGATTAACCGACAGTGCAGTATTGAACCAAGCAATAGTTAGAAAATTTTAAAATTGAGCTAATTTATCCTTTTCTCATGCTATTTTAAATAATAGATATATTTTTTACCTAAAAAGTATTTTGAAATTCATGCATATGTGTTATTACAATGTCATTTTGGTGTAAGACTCTCCTTTTGGTATGTAAGAGTTTAGGTGTTGATTGGATACTTTACTCCTACCATTATGTTGACTTTATGATCTTAAAACTTCAAATCATTTAATTGTCATTGTTGGCAAAGTTACGAATATACAACATATATCCTATTTTGAACATCTGATAGTAAGATCTTGTATTTTAGACTTGAAATTGCTATGTAAAAATTTTCTGCCAAAATATTTGCGAGTGATTTTAATTAAAATTGAAATCTTACTAACCATTAAATCTGAGAGTTGTCATTCTTATTATTGACATTGTAACCTGATGTGGTGACTAGTTGATTGAAGTTATTGCCTGTACTCTTTTTATTCATGCTTCATTGTTACAAGTTAGTCTTAAAATTTTGTCATAATGCATGATTTAAACTCGACTTTTCTAAGTACACTGTATTTAAAAGAGAGTGTCTTTGTATGTATAATTGTATTTTCTTTGTGGTTAATGATTACAGCTTTTGTATGAATGCATGTTCTAAAAAATAGCTATTCAGTATAAATTCTTTCAAGTAAAAATCAGTTTGAATTAATTCGGTTTCAACAAAGGCAAGCTTGTAACCCCTGTCCTGCACATTCTTGTAGCTTGACAAGTCTCTTCTCTCTACCAGCTATACCAATATATTTAATCGGAAAACCTTGATGTTAGCAATGGACCAGCCCAGATTTAAAGCTAGATAAGTTCATTATAATATAATACTAGTTAATGTTGTAAAGAAACAAGAATCCAACCTACCCTATATATTACATCATGTTATTGTCCCTTAACTCACTCTGTACATTACACATGTTAATTGATGAAACATCTTGTTCATACTTGTGTACAATTTAAAACCTATTTTTTTTGTTACAATTACGGACAAATCAGTTACTCGGAAGCTAAGAATGAGTATGACCCTTTGATATTTATATCTTGAGCTGTTGAAATATTGTCATTACCATGTATAACAAACTGTTACTGATATGTGATAGTTACATATATATGAAGGCTGTATTACATAAAACATGTTGACGTGACAGTGTATGCATGGTGCATATATATAACAAGAAATATATGTAATGTCACCAGTTCTCTGTATAACATATCTGTATGATGTATCTTTAATTAGTGCTAATTGGATCATCTGTCACAACATGTTTCTTGAAGACAAGTATATGAAGTATGACAGTTCTCCAATTAGTTGTTTATGTTTTAGATTATTCTACTGTAAGCTGTACAAGTTGCTTTAAACTGGTTCTTTAGCTGCCTTCTATGTAATATATAATAATAACGTGAGCTTTTCTGTTTTTTAGACAAACTAATATGTCAGTTTAGACTGTACTGTGAAGCATTGCTGGTACAAACTTGTTGTATTCAGAGACTGTAGTGTTGTGCCATGGTGATAAATATTATATAACTTCATTGTTATTCACTCACGATTAAATCATTTTGAAAAAAAAAAAAATTGTTTACCAATATGTATTTCACTAGTTTGATATTATTGGATGAATGCAAGAAATACTACACAATATTTGATAGTTAATGTCTCTTAAAGAGCAAAGGTTTCTCCAACTGAGAACAAATAAGTGTGTTCTTTATTCCTCCAACAATTGTTTTCATAACTCTCTGAATTGGCATAGGGATATTAGATATTAGCATAACTGAGACATTTTAGTCGATCAAAATGATAAGATATTTTTTCATTTCAACACATCTTCAGTGTTTAAACTACTAAAATGTTGAATGACTGGATTTTTTCACTGTTGACTCAACAAACACTGACATCACTGAAACATTTATCTTTGTTACATAGACCTTCTGTCTGCATAAGCATTTCCTTATAATACTTTCTTGAATAATTTCGCAATCAAAGCGATATAATGATTATAAAGCAGGTGATATACACCTGTGCTTTGTTTAGCTACAATTCTTGACATATAAATATTTTTACATTGTTATAAAGAGACTATTTTATTTCAACTGACGGCTCTGTCAGTTATTGATTGTAAGATTTATATTATTTCTCTTTATATATATATATTTTTTTCTTTTTGATTTCACACCATAATATTTAAATAACAGTGGTTCCATAACTTATCCATTAAATGGTTATATATTGTTTTTTTTTCTCTTTTTATAGTGTCACACAATTTTCTCAGAAACAGTTCTTGTTTTAAAAGAACTACATTATGTATATTTTAGTTGTTTTCCTTTTGTTATGTTAGGAAATGTGTGATATTCTTGATATAGTTGAATATCTCTTCAAGAGTTGTTTCCCTTGCACTGTATTAAACTGTTGTATCATAGTTTGGGGACCTTTCTGTTGAAAAAGTGTCAGAGTTAAATGGTATACATATACATGCACAGTGCGGTAACTGGAGTGCAGGTATCAGTTACCCGCACTCCAGATAATGCCCGTGGATTGGTTCATTTTTGCCGGGTTTACATATTGTGACGGCAGAGAAAGGGAAAGGGGCAGAACTATCATATTCAAATGCTCGTTCATTGTTTAATTTTTTCTGGGGTTTCATATTATGACAACAGGGAACGTGCTGTCATGTTTGACTATGATACAAAAGAGAAAGAACACCAAAACACTCGGCAATCTGATTTATACTCGGGGGCTACGCCCCCTCGTACAAATCAGATAGCCTCGTGTTTCGGTGCTCTTTCTATTACATGGATCCTAAGAAAAATGATACTAGTACTAAGAAACCATGTGCATTGTTAATGGGAAGTTAATAAAACTGAAGTTGTTTAGAAAGAACTCTTTAAATTTAATGCAAGATATTGTTACATGATAAATAAGTATGTATTTTCCATTCCTTTGCATGTCTTTACCATTTATAGCATATAGGAATTTGAAATGACAATTATACTAGTACTTGAACTACAGTTTATAGTATCATTAAAGGGTAACAACTAATGGAGAGATATTCAGCATTGATGGAACCTTTACAGTTAATAATTTGACAAACATTTTTATGCTTATAACTCAAAATATACATGTATAGAACAAATATACATTTTAAATAAAATTCTTATCTTCTACATTAGTGTACTGTCAATAAAGGTGACTGCATATCACAGGGAATCTTCATAATTATATATAAACATTCAACTTTTAAATTGCATAATACATATGTATACTTACAGTTATCAAGACAAGATGTTGTTTAAGCTTTATTTATTTCATGTTTCTACTTATAAATAATATTGAATGGAATTCATCTTCATAGCAAAGTTATCTTTCTTATCTTAATCTTAGTAGTTAAATCTTCAAAAATTCATATTTCCTCATTTGTATTGAAATTTTTTTAAGTTGTATTAACTAAGTAGCATGCAGTTACAATTGCAATTAAAGATTTATTTATTGGTATTGTGTGTAAGATTACGTAAATACGGTAGGATACAGTGACTAAACATGGAATACACAGATGAAAGTGTTTGTCAAATTATTAGATAATTGTGCTGTTAATTTTGTTTTCTATTCGGTCAAGAGACTGTACTGAGAAATAGTGATGGTGTGTGTTAACTGGCAATGTTTAATGCTATTAAATAAACCAATATAATACTAATTATGATAGTTTCTTTCTTTAATTATAGCATCACACAACAGGATACATACTACAAGGTGGATGAAATAATATTATAAACATATGATCATGAATCATAATGAGAGGCAATGCAATTTTAAATTTTCAGAATGTCGTCATGTTCTTAAAGTTTCTATATTTTATTTTATTATTCCTCGATCTGTGAACACTCCGAACACACGAAGAAATATTTCTGCATGAAACCTTGTTAGGATCTTTTTGTAGCTCTGAAAAAAATGTTGGCGTATATTGTTATGCACCTGGCAATCTGTAGCAATTAGGCGTTGGTTCTGTATCTTTTGAAACGATGTCGGAAAAATGAAACTACTTGGCAGAAATGTTAACCATAATGAAACGATGTGCAGAGCACAGGTAAGACCTACCCCAGGGCAAGGTCACACTTAGTTATTACATATGAATTTCAAAATTTCGTGTGCTCAATATCTTCTGAACGAATAGACGGAAATTGAAACTATTTGGTAGAAATAATACTAATAATAAGACGATGTGCAGGTTGGTTTCCTCAAATCAACAATGGCCCTGTCCTGGGGTCAATTGATGTATATAGACTAATTATGTCCAAAGCTTTGATATTTGGCTTGTCCCATTGCAATGCGGACTTTTACAAAAATGATCTAAGTTATGATCACCTTTATGATTGAAAAATTGACAACACAGGTCATTTTATATAAGGACATCTGCATGCAAAACTAAAATAAAATTTACATTATGGTTAACTAGTTGTGGACACTAAAGCTTGGATATTAGATGGGTTTTTTTTCAGAATTAAGGGAACTCTTAATAAGCTGTAATATCCTTACGAAAAAAGTTTTTTGGTCAATATTGTCCCCTCCCTGGTATAAACCTGTATAGGAAAAACAGTTCAGTCTGTATGAAAAAAGATACTAAGGGCTTAGATATTTGGCATCTAGCATTGTCTTGTGGACCTCACCTTAATCATGTCTTTTGGGTCAATATTTGCCCCGCCCTTAGGGTCACTTCATTTATATAGACTTAACATGGGATAAAGAATCTTATTGTGTGAAACTACAATAAACAGAGCTAAGATATTTGGCATGTGGCATTGCCTTGTGGACATCATGCCCCTTGCCCTCTCTTAGGGTATAGACTTGCATAGGATAAAGATACTTGAATCTTATTGTGTGAAACTACAATGAACAGAGCTAAGATATTTGGCATTGCCTTGTGGACATCATGCCCCTTGCCCTCTCTTAGGGTATAGACTTACATAGGATAAAGATACTTGAATCTTATTGTGTGAAACTACAATGAACAGAGCTAAGATATTCGGCATTTATCATTGCCTTGTGGACATCATGCTCCTTGCCCTCTCTTAGGGTATATAGACTTACATAGGATAAAGATACTTGAATCTTATTGTGTGAAACAACAATGAACAAAGCTAAGATATTTGGCATTGCCTTGTGGACACCATGCCCCTTGGGCTAGTTATGTAACCTCCCTGGGGTCACTTGATTTCTACAGACTTAATCGGAAAATGAATTTAAGCCTTATTCTGTGAGAGCGATATGTAATATTAATGTAATATTTCTATATGAAAAAAACATTTTAAGTCTTATTGTATGAATATACACAGGACCTAGATAGTTGGCATTTAGCACTGCTAAAATGACTTCTACAAAAGTTTCATAAGGTAAACAATGGCCCCAAATTGGTGCCACAATTGTATAATAAGCATATCTTGAAATTGTTTACTTCTAATTTATAAAAGTCCAGAACTTAGATATTTGTTATGAAGCATCAATATGAAATCGTCTACAAAAATTATATTAACAATAGCCCCGGGTTCAAAATTTACCTTGCCCTGCGGTTCAAATGCCTTATGTAGACTTGATGTACAACAAAACAAATCTAATCTCTTTGTGAAAAGCTACAATGCTCAGGGCTTATATATTTGGCATGTAGCATTGCCTGGTAGACCTCTACAAAAGTTATATGAATCATGCAATTAGGGTAAAAAAGCTTCCACCTATGGGTCATTGAGTATTAAGAACATTTTTTGGTATATCATTTACATTTTGAATATCTTCCCCTAATTAAAGACAAGTTTTGATTACTCAAACACATTTTCATTTGGGTGTGCGATAGCGGTGCTCTTGTTTGAATATTTCTGTAAAGCAGTCTTTTTTATTTGTAATTTACATGAATAAAGAGAATTTCATCTAACCAACAAGAAACAATATTTATGTTGTTTTAACCGACTATATAAATTCCTGTTACTTTTTGTTGTAAGAAATTGAACTCCAGGTCAATCGAAAAATGAAATGACTGAATGATAATTACACACACAGCAATCCAATGGAAATGCCACACTGAGTTTTCACAGTTATATGTAGTTGTGGACAAGTTTATTTCTTTGATTTTCCTTCTCCTGGCTGGGCAACTCCTTTAGCAACTAAACTCCCTCCAAGATGAAGGCGAAGAGCTGGCCATATAGCTAATTCTAAAACTGGGTTTTTCAAATCCTTCATGGACCTGGTGTAAGGTTTATAGATGTTAGTATCGTATGGGTTGCCAATTTTATCTTCGGATAAAGCCATTGGCGGATCACATACAGCCATCAACCAACATAGTTCAACACATTTCGCCGCATAAATGCGCAACGTTTTGTCGATTTCGTTTGGTTTAATGCCAAACCCACTGACATACTGCCCAAGTGTCGGGGTGAATTGCTTAAATAAAAAAATATATAGCACATGATTAAACAAGGGCAAAAGCAAGAAAACGTACTAAAACATGATTTTTTTTGACAAAAACATTATTATCTAAGGCATTTTTTTTAATCGGCACTCCTCTAAAATGAATAAATATCTTGAAAAATGTACGCATTACGTAGTTTTACTTAAGGTACATACTTCCAATAGAAATTACCTAAAATTGCAAAAGCAAGCAGCTTCTTTAATTACTCTGTAGTTAACGCGGTAAACAATGTAGTTGTAGTGGAAAAAATAAACTCTGCCACATTTTTCATAATATATTCAATTTTATATTTATTGTGAATATCTATCACATTCATAATCAATAAACTATTTTTCTTAGGTTTTGATTTTATGAAGACATATATGATTTATCTGGAGTCATGCCGTTTTAAGTTTTAAGTTTATAGCCTTCAGTTCGTTCCTGTCTGCATTTTCCTAATTTAATTTCAAAAGAAATACAATAGTTAAAGGTAATAAAAATAAACATAATTATACTCTTTCAAAAGGACGAGTAAATACAGGGAAATGCAACGTAATGCTCTTCAATATTAAAGCGGGACAGACCATTAGCAGTCTGAATAATTTAAAACATTTAAGAAATACAAAAAAATAAGTTTTATCTAAAGATTTTAAGATGCAAAGTATTGAAAATAAGATATACTTGAGCTACATTTCCGGCAGTTTCCATCGCTAGTTCCTTTCTAACATCTTTCAATATATTCTGAATATTCGTAAAACGTTCAGTTTTGTTACCCACTTGCGGACCTTGAGACTCATTATCAGGCCTATTATCCTGAAAGTAAAGTATTATATTGCTTAATACTTTATGAATGTTATTGGCCACAGCGGTTAATAAAGTGAAGTTAGCCTAGATGTCCAAACCTGCTGACTAGAGATTTGTTTGCTGTTCACTACCAGTTTTTCTCTTCATTAAATCAATTTAGCTCATGTTAATGATATACATGTACACTTAAAAATCAAAAGAGCAAAAGTACGTTTCAAAAATAGGCCATTACTATAAGACAATGATTATACTAAACTATCTAAATAGAAACTATTCCAAGTCGTTTTAAATGATGTGTTAAAATAACCTCTGCTGATTCCTGTTCCAAGCCTAGGAGGGTTGTCCGAACAGTCATCGTCTGCTCATTGAATTTTTTATCACAGAAATTAAAGGCCTTCTGAAAATGGTAAAGTTACTGCATATATATTGTACATAAAGTACTGTTAAGCATGGACTATTTTTCTGCTTCTATTAAAATGTATAACATATATATTCTGACCATAATTGTACTGCTAAATCAAATTCGACTGCTTATTACATGATGATATAAAATGTATTTCATTTATCCATATCTATTTTTTGGTTCAGCTCCCCTAAACACAAAGTGTTAAGAGGTTGCTTTGTGAAAACATGATTTTCATCGTCTGTTGCAAGGCTTTATTCATAATTGCCTTAAATAACATTTGAACCACAACATCTGAGTCACACGGTGAAAACAATGTCCAACAGAGGTGCGCTACCTTTACAAAAATATCGCAATCTTTAAAATCCTTTAGTCAGATACTATACTGCCTAGAACCTAGTTATTTGGCATAAAGTATCACCTTATTGACTTCTACACAAGTTATATAAATCATGTCATTGGCGTTATGGGTGACACAATTATCATGGGTCACTTAGTTTACGTATTATTTCATAGGAAACACATTTTAAACATCTAGTGTGAAGCAAGTATGCCCAAAGCTCAGATATTTAACTACACACATGTAGTAACAATGCCTTGTGGACCACTACAAAAGTGGCATAAATCATTATCCTGGAATCAAACATTGCTCTGCCCATGCCGGACACTTAGTTTACATTGACTTTATAGGAAAAAGGCATTTAAAAGCATTTCTCTTAAATTACTTGTCATAAATCACATAAATCCTAGATATGTTCGGCATGTAGCACAGCCTGATCTTGTACTCAAAAACTACAATACGGAGAGCTTAGATATTTGACACTTAGCTCCGCATTGTAATCTCTACAAAGATTATATAAATCCTGCTTCTATGGCTAAATTGGTCCCGCACATTAAAAATGATCTTGTGTGAAACGTCAATGTAAAAGGTTTGGATATTTGGCGTGTAATATGGCTTGTGCATCTTTACAAAAGTAATATCAATCATGATCATTGGGCCGGTCAAAGTCCCAGCGTCACTGAGTTTACATAGACGAGTATAGGAAAATATATTTGAATCTTCTTGTGGAATAATATTATCTGCGGCAGCATTGCCTAACGGACCTTTACAAAAGTATTATAATTTATGCTTCGTACATACTGAATAACACATGTGAATTTGGATTAGAGACAATTATTTATATATGATATTGAATTGTGACGTTAAATGATCAAAATGTTAATCAGGTGACATTCTTTTAGCTTCAATCTTCATGGCTTTAAGCTTGTTCACTTCTACTCTTTATTTTAGTGTGCCATTTAAGGTTGACTTTGAATGACTTTAAATATAAACATATGCTAGATTGTACTAAAGAATGTATAACCTCTCGGTCAGTAATCTTCAATAAGATATCGGTATCGACGTATCGTGTGTAAATGTCAGTGCAGTGGCTAGAAGTATATCGGGCCGAGAACTTTTTTATTATACCTTGTATATAGTTAGGGAGGAATAAACATATATTTTGATTTGGTCCTACTTTTAAATATTTCATAATTGAAAAAGAATAAATAAATAAAATGAAACCAAGCACATTTTCAATTTTAGCCCGCCACGACCCCTTCGTGCACAATGTACTTAAATTACGACTGTCACATGAATTCAAGCTGTGAACTAGGAAAAAAACTACACTCGGCTCTTTCTGTCATTATTGATTAATAGAACATGGGCAATGTTAGCCAAAACGGCGTTTTAATTGAAATTCTGAATTTGTTTTAGTATGTTTCAAAATATTCATTATTTTATAGATGACTTAAGCCCAATAGATGAACATGACAGATAAAATTCCTTACTGTCACTATCCCATGAAGAATTCCAACTTTTTTGTCTTCGTCCATTTTAGATATATTCTCATAAGCATCTGACCATTCATTGTCATAAACTTCAGAAAACATTTTGCCTATTTCTGTTGGTCTGTAGCGGTCACTTAAGTCGGCTAGATCGGGATTTCCTTGTCGCAATTTGTCCCCAGCTAGTTTGCTTAATCTGTTGTGAGATTAAATAATTTCATAAATAAAACATTCTGTTCACGACTTCGGCAAATATCTAGCATATAATGTATATGTATCATAACCTTTTGTTCTCGATTATTCAAAAAAAAACCCAGAAAACAAACAACATGCTCTGATCGACTTATTTCTAAAAAAGCCATTATACATGTATGTCTTTAAAAGCAATATTTCAGCAAGCTGATGTTTTCCAGTGTGTAAAATGTTTCACCTGATCAGACCAAGTTTTCTATAAAATAATTTTTCACGATTGTTCAAAATTTCTTACCAGATTACAAATAACAAATTACTATAAAAACTTTTATACATATACATTTTTGAAAGTAATATTATGTGTAAAATGCTTTACTGATCAGATCATATTTTCAAAAAAAAATCATGACTCTAAACATATAAGATAATTCATTTGTCAATTGGAAGAAAGAAATACTATTGAGAAGAAAACTTGCCGTTTTGACAAATCATTATTCTGTTCTCTCAAATTTTCAAGATATTTCTTTAGTTTTTCAATCTGGCCATCTTTCTCTTTCAACTCATAGTGTGCATCAGCGCGAATTTCATGCACCTTCTGTTTCAAATGGTTTACTTTTTGTACGAGTTCTTTATTTTGAAGCTGAACATCATGCTCAAGTCTACTTTCAACGTTTCTACTTCCTTCACTAGTCAATCTGTTTGCTGCATTAACGTCTGCAGGCGGACCTTTACGCTTTCCCGGCTTAGGATCACTCTGGCTGCGTGAACTACCTGCAGATGGTAAACGCCTACCTGTAGATGCATCGTCACCCGTTTTCTGAAATAACGATAAAATCATGAGATGATGGCAACTGAGTATCATTTTAACCTAAATATGTATTCGAGTTTTACACTGAAGATTTAAAATGAGTCAAATTAAATTATGATGCTTATTTACCGAATGACCTAAGATAATGCCCGAAAGGGAACATAAAGACTTCTTCCACTGTGTCGATGTGACTTAGCACTCATTCTCACTTAAGTACGACATTCCATGTCTTCAATGTTCTATGAAAATTTATGGAGATATATAAGCCCGAACATTCTTGTAAAATGAATTTACAATTGGTACTGCGTCAAATATTTAATTTGAGCGCAAGTTTACTAGCCTATTGGTTTGATTTTGCTAGTGACAATTGCTTTTGCAAGGAAGGGGTACGAAAAGCAGTATGTCTTCAACTTAATCGAAGTATGTTTCATTGCAAAAAGTCGTGGTTAACAGTAAACACATCTTATTTTCGTTATTCTATTGCAGATTTTGACATATAAAACTGTTTTTGATCTTACGAAAATTAATTTCAAGGTCGAAATCATTTACGAGTCTTAATTGCAAAACAATGTTAATCATACATGGTAACGTATAAATGGTTATTTCAATAGCAATATTAAGTCTACAGTAATATAGTAAACATAAAATATGAAGATTTAGTGTATCTGTGCAACCATTTTGTTAAGGATTTCACGTTATTTTGGATTTTACAAGCGTAATTTTTACAAAATCATTTACGAGGCTCATCAATACCATGCGTTTTGCAATATATTTTCAATAATTCAATGTTATTATACTTCAGATATCTAGAGCGGATATTTGTCTTGCATATATTCTGTCATTCATGTAAACCATTCAACAATTTCTCATAAATTTCCCTTGTCAAACAGAAATTTTCAACATTTACGAGCCTATCATTTACGGGACTCACCCTCTTTCACATTCTCTTGTGAATTATTCTGCTAGATTAGTTGAATTATTTCAACTTGTTAATGGACGTTGGTAGTGTAGGAATAGTATTTATCCACAAAAAAAACAAAGAAGTATCCATGTTTTTTAAACATACGCATTTGAAATGTGTTTTTCACTTGCAGATAGCTTCTAAAAATCATAATTTTGACATTGTAATTGGTATTCAGACGTTTTGACTATTATAGAGTTCAATGGATACTTTTATAAACGAATACATTTAAACTTATAAATACGTCAATCACAAAAATGAAGTAAACATGAAAACAGGCGTGTCCCGTATCTGGCTGAACTGTCCCGTAAATGGTAAAATTAATTTTGGAATATTCATTCGAGTAATAAAAATTTTTGAGTTCACGTTTATCGATTTAAACGCAATAATATTGGAGTATCTTCAAGTTGTATTAATTGTAAGATAGAAGTTTCTTTGGAGCAGATATGGTGAGAACTACCGAGTATTTGTCCTTAAATAAATACATTCTGAAAACTTTATAACATTTTCATAGATGTTTCAGTTAAATGGAATATGACTTTTCATGCATCTTGATATAAAATATTTTAGTTTATTTAGATTTAAACAAACATTCTGTACATTTTTTTGCAGTTCAATTATAAGATAATAGTAATAAGATTGATTTGTCCCGTAAACGACCAGAGCGAAAGAAAATTATAAAACAGTGATTTTCCCAATGAAAGTTATATTTCTATGAGAGAAATTATTTGCTTTGATTTGTACTATTGTTTTCGTTTACACTAACTTGGATTTATATGCAAATCTAGCAATTTTGTTGAACTTCTAAGACCATTTATACGATCTTTTACTATTTTCTTTACTATTTTCAGTTCAATTGTTTAATTATTGTTAATATGGCCCAACCTTGCCAAAAGAATATCTGCTCCATTTCATAAATAAATATAAGTTAATCTACAATCATTATTGAGATACATGTATAACTCAAAGAGTTTTAACATTTCTTTCTGTCAATCCATAGCATCTGGAGACTGTGTCACTTACGGGACAATTGAACAAGAGGGCCATGATGGCCCTAGATCGCTCACCTGACTTATCAAACTCATCCAAACAATTACCTAGACAAGCATTCTGACCAAGTCTCATGACAGGTGAGTCAAAAATGTGACCACTACAGTATTAACAAGGATTATCCATATTTTAGCAGTGCGACCTAGTTTTTTACCCAGGTGACACATATTCAAACTTGACCTAGAAATCATCAAAACAAACTTTCAGACCAATTTCCCGGATACTTGGATCAAAACAGTAGCAACTAGAGTGTTAACAAGATTTTTTCTATTTTAGCTCCGGTGACCTAGTTTCACATGCGATTTCGAACTCATCCAAGCAATTACCTAGACAAGCATCCTGACCAAGTTTGATGATAATTGAGTCGAAAATGTGACCACTAGAACGTTAACAAGGTTTTTCCATATTTGGGCGGTGTGACCTAGTTTTTCATCCAAGATGACTCATGTTCGATCTTGACTTACAAATCATCAAAACAAACTTTCGGACCAATTAACAGAATATTTGGATCACAACAGTAGCCACTAGAGTGTTAACAAGATTTTTCTATTTTTAGCTCCTGTGACCTAATTTTTCATCCGAGATATCCCATGTTCGATTAATTCCCAGCCATGACCTAGACAAGTTTCCTGACCAAGTTTGATGACAATTAAGTCAAAATTGTGACCACTAGAGTGTTAACAAGGTTTTTCTATTTTTAGCTCCTGTGACCTAGTTTTTCATCCGAGATGACCCATGTTCGAACTCATCCGAGCTATCACCAAGACAAGCATCTTGATCAAGATTGATGATGATTGATGCAAAAATGTGACCGCTAGAGTGTTAACAAGGTTTTTCTATTTTTAGCTCCGGTGACCTACTTTTTCATCCGAGATGACCCATGTTCAAACTCATCCGAGCTATCACCTAGACAAACATCTTGACAAAGTTTGATGATGACTGATGCAAAAATGTGACCACTAGAGTGTTAACAAGGTTTTTCTATTTTTAGCTCCGGTGACCTACTTTTTCATCCGAGATGACCCATGTTCAAACTCATCCGAGCTATCACCAAGAAAAGCATCTTGACCAAGTTTGATGATGATTGATGCAAAAATGTGACCGCTAGAGTGTTAACAATGTTTTTCTATTTTTAGCTCCGGTGACCTACTTTTTCATCCGAGATGACCAATGTTCGAACTCATCTAAGCTATCAACTAGATAAGCATCCTGACCAAGTTTGATGATGATTGATGCAAAAATGTGACCGCTAGAGTGTTAACAAGGTTTTTCTATTTATAGCTCCGGTGACCTAGTTTTTCATCCGAGATGACCCATATTGGAACTCATCCGAGCTATTATCTAAACAAGCATCCTGGCAAAGTTTGATGATGATTGGGTCAAAAATGTGACCACTAGAGTGTTCACAAGGTTTTTCTATTTTTAGCTTCTGTGACCTAGTTTTTCATCAGAGATGAGCCATGTTCGAACCCATCCAAGCAATTGACTAGACAAGCAATCTGACCAAGTTTGATGATGATTGGTTCAAAAAAGGTTTTTCTATTTTTAGCTCCGGTGACCTACTTTTTCATCCGAGATGACCCATGTTCGAACTCATCCGAGCTATCACCTAGACAAACATCCTGATCAAGTTTGATGATGATTGGGTCAAAAATGTGACCTCTAGAGTGTTCACAAGGTTTTTTCTATTTTTAGCTCTTGTGACCTAGTTTTTCATCCGAGATGAGCCATGTTCGAACTCATCCGAGCTTTCAACTAGATAAGCATCCTGACCAAGTTTGATGATGATTGAGGCAAAAATGCGACCGCTAGAGTGTTCACAAGCAATTGTGGACGTACGACGGACGGACGGACGGACGACGGACATTCACCGACCCTAAAAGCTCACCCTGAGCAAGCTCAGGTGAGCTAAAAATCATTTACGAGTCCTTAATTAATTGTCAATATATGAGATGACGTAAATTATTTCACATTTGACAATTGAATGATAGATAGATAGATAGATAGATAGATAGATAGATAGATAGATAGATAGATAGATAGATAGATAGATAGATAGATAGATAGATAGATAGATAGATAGATAGATAGATAGATAGATAGATAGATAGATAGATAGATAGATAGATAGATAGATAGATAGATAGATAGATAGATAGATAGATAGATAGATAGATAGATAGATAGATAGATAGATAGATAGATAGATAGATAGATAGATAGATAGATAGATAGATAGATAGATAGATAGATAGATAGATAGATAGATAGATAGATAGATAGATAGATAGATAGATAGATAGATAGATAGATAGATAGATAGATAGATAGATAGATAGATAGATAGATAGATAGATAGATAGATAGATAGATAGATAGATAGATAGATAGATAGATAGATAGATAGATAGATAGATAGATAGATAGATAGATAGATAGATAGATAGATAGATAGATAGATAGATAGATAGATAGATAGATAGATAGATAGATAGATAGATAGATAGATAGATAGATAGATAGATAGATTCAAGAATGTTCATTTTTCAGTTCCTTAAGTGAGAATGAGTGTTAAACGCAAGAGTCTTACTCCGATTCGCAAAACATGTAGCACACCCCTGGCAATATTCGAATATCCACTGCTATGTGTATTCTTACTTTAAATTAAATTAAAATCTTACCTCTCCTTTTTTCTTTGTTAATTTAGTATTCTTATCTTTCAATATGTCAATCTCTCGTCTAGCTTTATCATAAACGGTAGCACCTACGATTCTTTCCCGATACCAAACTGTTATAAATTCATCAAAAAACTTCTCCAGAACAAATTCGAAAGATTTTGTTTTAAGTGATCCCGGTTTTGGCTTTTCGTCCATGGCATTAACCTGATGGCGAAATGAATTGAGAACCTTCAAATATATATATGTACATATTTAGAGATCAACAACTTTCTTTTTATTGTTATATAAGGAAACGTTAAAATGATCATGATGTGAAAGTCGAATGATTTTAATTAGATTTAATTAGACGTTTTAACAAAGATAAAAAAACTGTTTATTTCGCGGAACCTTTTCTTGGTATGCTTGAAGTTTTTGTCTCGGCAAAAAGGTATCTTAATACATGTATAGTCTTTTGAAAAGCATTTGTCTTTATGACAAAAATTGGCCTTGACAAAAAACTTCAAGCATTTTGAGAAAAGTTACTAGGAATGACAAAAAAATGGTATAGTCTTTGTGAATAAAATGAATTGATTTGTGTTAAAATATCTGATCGAACAAATATCAGTCGTCTTACACCTCGTGATCGCACTAAATGAAGGTCCTTTAACGTTTCCGTAGTTAAACAGGGTTATCTAATTGTTCACGTTTTTAACTTTGTAGCTGGCATTTTCGAAGTTATTATAGTCTGATTTTATTGACCTGTCAATCATGAATACATTATAGGACTCATTTAAATATTCGATCCCACTTCGGTTAGGTCCGTGTAGTTTACGAGAATTAATGTGGAGTATTGTTTGGTTTTATTAACCTGTCAATTACATACTGATTACACGGTCGATGCACACAATATATTAATCTTCGGCAGATTTTCGGAAAGTTCCGTGAGATGTACGTTGTACGATGGAATTTAATTTAATTTCTATCTATGAATGAAGTGTACTGATCGTTATAGCGCAATAGGGATAAAGCACGAGTTAATATTCTAAGTGTCATAGATGTTTTAAGTTCGAGACCGCGTTGGTCCATGTTTTTTTTCTTTCTTATTAATACTTTCAACATTATTAAATCTACACGTGATTATTTTTTATGTTGTTCGTTTTGTTTTATTATGTTTTGCTTAATTTTGTAAAGACTATACTCTTTTTAAATAACATGTTTTAAGAATTCATGTTTAAAATTAAAACGGATTAAAACCAATTAATGCCTTCAATGCCGTAAAACACACTTCAAATCGGTTCCATTAAAATATACTGCAAAATAAAGAGAGTAAAGCCTAAAAGAATTTCATCAGTAAGGATCGAACCACCGACCTCTCAATTATCAGGCATTCTCTTAACCGACTGCACTATTGCAAATTAACGAAAACCTTCACATTAAGCTGGCCTCACTTTCAAAACATGACTTATATACTCCACATTAATTCTCGTAAACTACACGGACCAAACCGAAGTGGGGTCGAATATTCAAATGAGTGCTATAATATATTCATAATTGACAGGTCAATAAAATCGGACAATATATTAGTAATGGATTGAAAGTCACGCCAGCTTAATGTTAAGGTTTTCATTAATATACAATAGTACAGTAGGTTAAGAGAATGCCTGATAATTGAGAGGTCTGTGGTTCGATCCTTACTGTTGCCATTGTTTTAGTACTCTTTCTTTATTTTTACAATATATTTTAATGGATTTGTAGTGTTTTACTGCATTTAAAAGTCATTTATTGATTTTAAACCGTTTTAATTTTAAGCATGAATTTTTAAAACATGTTATTTAAAAAGAGTATATACATATCAAAATAAAGTGAAACATTATACAATGTAAAACAAAACGAACAACATAAAATAATCATATATAGCTGCAATAATGTTGAAAGTATTAATAAGAAAAAAACATGGACCAACGCGGTCTCCAACTTAAAATACGTGTGGCACTCAGATTATAAACTCGTGCTTTACCCTATTGCGCTATAACGCTGAGTACACTTAGTTTAGAGATACAAATTAAATTAAGTTCCATCGTTCACGGAATTTACCGAAAATCTACCGAAGATTAATATAATGTGTGCATCGACCGTGTAATCAGTATGTAATTGACAGGTTAATAAAACCAAACAATAATTCGCCGAGTCTCTTATTTTAAATACACAAACAATTATAAATGCCACGACATAAAAATGAACCTACGATCTGGTTCACTGCAGTTCTCTTGTGCTTGGCCTCTTTTCCATTTCATAGTTTGTTTTGTACGAGTATTATTAGAGTAAATTAAAGTATCACGTATTTCTTTGTCGAACAAAAAATAATCATTTTGGGATCATATACGAAATAATATATAAATACTAAACTTTATATGCCGCTTCTATTTTTTTTCCATTTGTCGGTGCGCTGTTGACCTATAGCTAATTCAATACGAGTACCTTCATTTTAATTTGAGAGCTTTCAATACGGATAACACGCTCGTAAACATTTTGAGCAGTTATAGATGTTTTTAAACAGAACTGAACGGAATATACGACATGCTCGCAATGTTTGCCATTCTTTGAAGACAGGAGCTTTCTTAAAATTACCTTAACCAAAATGCGCTTTAATAACTACAATATTGTAAATAGGCACTCTTTTGATATAGTTCAAGTCCTTAAGAATCTACAAAAGATGAACTAGAGATTTGTTCAAGTGAACAAAAATACATAAATCGCATATTAAAGCTGTTTACAAAAGTAAGTCAGAGACAATATGCCATAAAATACAATCTAACATAAAGCTGATGAGATAATATGTCTACGGTGTTGTTGCTATAAATTCACACGTTTTCGTCCTTGTAGGGTAAAGTCAAAACTATTAAAGTTTGTGAAAGATGCCATTGTCGTGTTATCAACATTTTAGCTTTATTTTCGTCAGGAAAAATGTGTTAATAAGATGCGTCTTTATTTCAATTATAAAAGAATATAGGCAGTGTGAATGCCGCCAACATGCACTGTAAAAATATCGCTGGGTTCTAAAGAATTTAGGGGCATTTTTCAAAGTTTGCCAAAGGTTACTCAAAAAATATATTGTTTGAATTCTATAATACAATACATTAACCGTCTAGTTTTGATTTACTTAGACTTTAAAATTATCAGGTAACATATTTGTTATCAAATATAGTATTTTTTCCAATAAATACCTATATTTCTTATTTAATTAAACTTTAAACAATGTAATGTTTACAGAAAAAAGAAACTAGACCTTGCTTTGGCTTGAACCCACGACCCAGGTGATGAGTATAGTATAATATCCCTGAACAAAATAGTCTTCTGAATTCACAAAACCATAACAAGAAGGTTAAACGTTAATGTTAAATATAAACATGTTAGCAAATCAAATACTTTCTTTGTATTTAGTATCAGTAATTTTATTACATTACTTTTAATCAAGACATTCACGTATAAACGTAAATATGACAAGATAAATTTACATACCTTATTCTTTTCTATATCAATGTCAATTTGTAACTATGCAGTGAACACTTTTGTTTTTACAATTCACTTCCTTGATAAAGAAAAATCTACTTTCGGTTTGAAACAAAACACGGTGATCTGGTCATTATCATGGTCATTTCGTCTACTTATGACATTAATTTTAAAGTATTAAACTAATTATACATATTTACGAAAATATTAAACGGTTTAAGATAGTTAAGATACTACCTTTCCGCGTTCTGTCTGGATTTCCACGTATAAAATGAAGTTCCTTTTTCAAACAAATTAGTTCTAAAAATAAACGCATATCAAGAGCGTATTGATTTTTACTATGTGAATAAAGTTAAATTATACTTCTGCATAATTTGTTGGTTCCATTTTAATGTTTGAAAGTAAAGAATGATTTTTATGTATGTAAGTATAAAAGTTAGAAAATACTCATATCAAATTTTGTAAACCTTTTTTTGACGAAAATCTACGATTAACGTTAAATAATTAAATCTACTATTATGTTTGCTTTACACTACTAAACCGACATTTATTTAGGTTTCAGCGTTCTTCTGGTTGACGGTTCTCTAACGGAAGTGTCGAGGGCTCTAATTTAAACAGATCACCAAATGTGAGAGAGCCACCGTTTGGTAGGGGTGTTCACGTCCTATTTTACTGTGTATAGGAAAGCATGTATTAGCCATCATCTTTTCATCATGTCATTGTTTATTTAGTTTCGACCATCCACTTAATATTATGTTAACACCTTAAATGCCATTTTATGTTTCATGTCATTATATGTATGCTTGTACACTTAACGAAACTTTTAAGTACTCCGACCAGTTTTTTATTATATTGGGTACTAGCCTAAGTCGATACTGTATAAACTTTAATCATAGTATCATCATTTTATAATAGTAAATGCATTTTACAATAACTCAAACTTAACAGAAAATCAGTAACTGAGATCACCATTGTAAAAAAATCAAATACCTTCAAGTTTAGTATATATTTTGAAAGTTTTCCTGCAAGTTTGAAATCGGAGTACTTATAAGTTTCGTTAAGTGTATATATGTTAATCATGAGAACCTTCTAGTTTAACAGATACGAGTAAATAAACCTTAAACTGAACATGTTAAAACGAAATAAAAAAAATCAGACTACTAGTCTATAATTTATGTGTATGCGTATATGCTTGTGTGTACGTGCATTTGTGTGTGCGTGTGTGTACATTTTTAAATAACAATCAGGTTCACCCTAATTAATTATTAGTAAGAGGAAAATTATAGACTAGTAATATTATCTGATTTTTTTTATTTGGTTTTAAAATGTTCAGGTAATCTGATCATATCTCATTATCGATGAATTAAGTCAACAGTTATCGAGTCAAATCAGTCCATGTAATTATGAAGAAGAAGAAGAACGTTTATTTATCTGTTAAACTACAAGTTTCTGGTGATTATACATATACAAGCATACATATAATGACATGAAAAGTACAATGGCATGAAAGTCAACATGATATTAAGTGGATGAATGAAACTAACTAAACAATGACATGAATGAAAGATGATGGCGGCTAATGCATGCTTCTCTACACAAGTAAAAAATGTTTCATTTGTTTGGACCTGAACACCCCTACCAAACGGTGGCTCTTTCACATTTTGGTGATCTATTTAAATTAGAGCCCTCGACACTTCCGTTAGAGAACCGTCGACCAAAAGAAAAAGGTAAATCCAGTTTCTAAAACTGTCGGTTTAGTAGTAAAGCAAACATAATAGTAGATTTAATTATTTAACGTTAATCGTAGATTTTCGTCAAAAATAGTTTTACAAAATTTAATATGAGTATTTTCTAACTTTTATACTTACAAAAAAAAACATTCTTTACTTTCGAACATTAAAATGGAACAGTAGTATAATTTAACTTTATTTACATTATGAAAATCAATACGCTCTTGATATGCGTTTATTTTTAGAACTAATTTGTTTGAAAAAGGAACTTCATTTTATACGTGGAAATCCAGACAGTACGCGGAAAGGTAATATCTTAAGTATCTTAAACAGTTTAATATTTTCGTAAATATACATGTATATTATTAGTTAAATACTTTAAATTCAATCACATAAGTAGAGAAATGACCATGTTAATGACCAGACCAAGGGGTATTATTTCAAACCGAAAGTATTTTTTCTGATCAAGGAAGTAAATTGAAAAAAAAGCAAAATTGTTTACTGCTTAGTTACAAAGAATAAGGTATGTAAATTTATCTAGTCATATTAACGTTTATACGTGAATGTCTTGATTAAAATTTATGTAATAAAATTATTGATGCTAAATATAAAAAAAAGTTTTTTTGAATTTGCCAAACATGTTTATATTTAATATTAACGTTTAACGTTCTTTTTATGGTTTTAGAATTTTCAGAAGACAATTTTGTTCAGGGATTATACTATTCTCATACTACTGTCACCTGGGTCGTGGGTTCAAGCCAAAGCAAGGTCTAGTTTCTTTTTTTCTGTAAACATTACATTGTTAAAAGTTTAATTAAATAAGAAATATAGGTATTTATTGGAAAAAAATACAATTTTTTTTGAAACAAATTTTTTACCTAAATTTTAAAAAGTCAAAGTAAATAAAAACCTACCCGGTTTAAATTTGTTTTTTGTATTTTAAAATTTACTAATCCCCCTAATTTTTTTGAAAACTTTTGGAAATCTCCCCCAAATTCTTTTAGATTTAAGTTAATTTTTTGGGTTTAAAAGGCGATGGCTTCACATTCCCTTTGAAGGATTCTATATTTTTAATTATCCTCCAAAATTTATTTTTTTGGATTTGTTAAAAAATGCCCAAACATATTTTTAATTGTTTTAGAAATGATTTAGGCATGTTAGATTTTTTAAATTTGAAAAAAAGTACCCGGCAAACTAGGAAACGGGGTAAAAACTACCCAAAATGTAAAAAATAGTTTATTTTGACTTCCTCCCAAAATATAATTCACTAAATTTTACCAATTTTGCCAAAAAGAGCAAAAAAAGTAAAAGATAATTCTTCTATGTGACAAACGAGTAATTTTTATGAAGTTTCCGCTTAATCTAAAACTCTGTGTGGTAAAAGGATTTTTAAGTTTTTCCCTTTTTTCCTTTTTAAAACATTTTAATTAGTAAAAGAAAATTAAAAAAATTGTGCCCTTTTTTAAAAAGCTTTAAAACTTTGGCTTTGGTGTAAAAAATTGGTTTTCAATTATTTCAGCCTGGGGACCCATTTTTAAAAAACCCAAGATGGCCCTAAAAACCCCAAGATCCCGCCAAAATGTAAAAGTCCCGGGTTTTCCTGACAAATTTTTTATTTATGCTGGGAAAGGGATAAAATTTTGACATTAAAAGGTCAAAATGTAATTTTTGGGAAAAATGTTCATTTAGCTTGATTAAAAAATTAAATAGGGCTTCCCAAAATCCATATGGCCCCAAAAAATGTTTATTTTTGCCCAAATTTCTATAAAAAAGTAATTTTTTATCATCAATTTTTTAAAAAACATATAACACATAAAAAATTAGCTTTTCCTGCAAAAAAATTTGGGCCCAACAGATAAAAATTTACAAAAAAAAAACTTGCATTTTATGGATTAAAACCAGGAGAGCACATTATTTAGCTTTGACATTTTAAAGAATTAGGGGAGCGAATTGTACACCAAAAGGCGTGAGCTTTACAGTTTGGCTAGGTTTTTCATTGCCAAGTTGGGTTTTGTTAAAATTTACATGAATGGAATACGTTTAACACTTTTATACAATTTTTTTTTGAGAATAAAGAAGGTCACCCGTTAAAGGGCTCAAAACTCTATCATGGATTTTGGACAGAATTTTGTGCCCCTTTTAAATATAAGGAACTTCTCATAAATCGTAGCGGTTCTTGTTTTAGTTATAAGCACCGAGAACAGTCGAGCACTCTATTGATGTCCTACCGATAGCTCTTGTCATTTTTTTAGTTTTTAGTCTTGCATTCAACCTTGTGATCGTCTTAAGGCCTCAACAAGCGATAGGATTTAGGGGTTGTTCAGCACAAAATTAGAGATCAGATGTACAATTTTCAAAAGCAATACAACACTGGCATTCAGATGACAATTCTACACTGTAGGAATCATCTGAGGTTTCCCTAAAAAAGACTCCTCCAATTGATCCTTTACATACTTTACTCACTTTAAATACTTGTTCGCCATGAAGTAATGGTTGAAACACCTTCATTAAAAAAAAAAATTGATTGGAAAGCCGACCGAGACTCCAACCTGGGACCTCGGAATACCGTACTGCGGCTGTGCTGACTAAGCTATCGGCCGCCTATATTCTACCTCCCTCCCGCTAATTAGAAAACAGTTCAATACCCGTGACATAATCATTTTCGAAATAATATAGGATTCGAACATAACACAAAATTTGGTCTCCTGAAGAGTTTTTCAACATCATTTTTACCACCAGTCTTGTACTACTATGTTTTACTTTTTAACCCTAATTGTTCTGGAATTTTATTTCATATACACCCATTTATCAGGAGATAATTTCAGTAATACTGTTACTTGTCATTGTAGGAGGTCTTGTAGAAATCTGTACGACAAGATTTGTCAAAATAGAACTTCCTATTCCCTTACATCTAGACTTAAGGTTTCGAATTCAAAAATAGTAGCCTTCCGCACGTTAAGATTTGCCTGTACATCTTAGTTTTAGATTGGTGTTGTACTTCAGTATCCTTCCGGTCTGTTAGAGGCCTTTACTGCAGCTGTGAGTTCTTTTTCATTGAGTAATTTAAGCAGCATATTTTGTGTCATTAGATAACGGAATCAGACCTTTATTATGTCATTATTTGGCAAGGTCTTGATAATAAAAACAAGAAAAACAGAAAGATATTCTTGAACAAAAAAATATCTTGGGTTTTTCTTTAATCAAAACTTAAGTGTTTTGGCATTATTTAGAATTAGTCATTCGTTGCTTTATATGAGATAAAGTTTAGACTTTTGCAGCTCTTTCTATTTGATATTTTGATATAAGATTCCAATTGTAAGATTGAGCTGCTAACTTACTGACTTACTGCGAATTTCGGGGGCTGCATTCTAGGGGCAAACGCTCTTAAATTTCTTGTTAAATTTTTCCCTTTTTATATTTCTTAAAGCAGTTGAAATGCCAGATAAAGCCTCACATGAGCATTTGTCTTTTTCTATATTACGGTAATAATAGTTGATTTATAATCTCAGTGTTGTTGTTTTTTTGCATTTTAAAAGCAATTGAAAAACTTTAACAATTTATAAATCTAAATGCTGTTGTTGTTTACTTAGATTAAATAATTTCTGTTTGTTTACTTCTTTCCACGAACATGTTCATAAAAGGGACTGTACACAAGACTAGTTGGAATCACTGCCGCATTTAGCTTAATTTCATAAAGTTGTTTAATTGTTCATTGTTCAGCGTTTTTTTTTTATTTACCCTTCTAGAAATTAGAATCACAATAACAATGAACAATTGACCTTAACTTGACAGACATTCAGTACTAGATCAATAGGTGTTTATTATAAATAATTGACTAAAGTTTTCTTTTTATACTGATTTTATTAGTTGATAACACTTTAAAACATTACCTTGCTTAAAGTTAGTATAAAACGACCGTGATGTACAAAATGTTGAAATATCAATATTTTCTAACTTTTGCAGCAATTTATTCAGCCTAGTATCGCAGAAAAAATATTTTTTAGAAACTGGTCACTTTTGACTCAGAACATAAACTACTTTAAGTAGTTGGGTTACGTTAAAACTTTTTTATTTTATCAAAATACAAATTTACATAGTCTAGAATTCTCTGAAATTATTTATATGAAGTGTTTTCCTTTGGGAAAAATTACATAGCTGTTGGTTAAGAATATACGAAAGGTTCTATACCAATCCTTTTACACTTGACAATGGACCCAATAGAGGTCAGCTACATACTTATATCATTGGAATAAGGCTCAAGCTTAGTTTGATTTCAAGTTACTTGCCCTTGAAGTTACCTAAAGACTAGCAAAGAGATTCTTATTTCAAGGGCAAATAATGAAATTATGAGATGGTTTTACTTCCATTTTTGTTTTAAAAATTCTTTTGTTTCCTTTTGCGTTTTCGTAAATCAAGTAAAGAATGCTTTTTGAAATAAATCTGAAGCAATTTAATTATGAGCATGTTTCAATATGAATCGGATGTTTTGAATCAGTTTGCATAACTAAAAGGGTTTTTGTACAAAAACATATGTCTCCCAAAACTATGTATGGTCACTCATGTGAAGTTTCATTGAAATCCCACCAGTAGCTTTACCTTAAAAAGCCGGACAAGATTGTTTTATTTATAGCTCATTTCATGTGACAATTTTGTATGTGCAATGATTGTGTGCAAACTAGGGCTTGGTTACTGCTCACTCCGGTAAAGGTTTGGGTTTGCTATTACAACCCAGTAGTTTTGACCAGTGAAGCCGGGTAGAATTATTTTCTATTTTTTAGCTCTGGCGGGCCATTGTGTGCAGCCAAAGCAGAACGTTAACGGTTTGATGTCCACAACTTGGATTGGGTTACTGATTATTAAATTTTTTTTGAAAATTCCCACCCATTATAGTTTGCCCTTGAAGGACGGACAATTTTAATTGCGGCCGAAACGGAAACGGACAGACGGCGAAGGCAAATAACAATATATTTCCCAAAAATTTTCTTTTATGTTGATATGTTTAAAGAAAATTAATTTAAAAGTATTTGTCTCTTTTGTCTAACATTTTGCGAAAATGATTACAGCTAACATTATCTGAAAATTTCAACATGGTGGCCATCTTGGATTTTGGAAGTCATGTTGGATATGCAAAACCTAGATCGGATGCTTGAATATAAATAAATATGTAATACCATAATTTAAAATTGGATTTTAGCAGACATCTTGGATTTGCACAACCTGGATCCGAGGCTTGAATATAAATAAATGTGTAATAAAATAAAGTGGCGCTATTTCATACTGTCCTGTAAAGAATACAGCTGAAAAACCTTAATATTTTGAAAAAATAATAAATGGCGGCCATCTTGGATTTTGGCTGCCATTTTAGATTTGCACAACTTGGATCAGAGTCTTGAAATAAATTAATCTGGTTATGTAATAATGGCAAGATGCTTTTTTTTATACTTATTCCCTTAGGTATGACTACTGCTGAAATACCAAAATATTATGAAAATTTTGATACATGGCGGCCATCTTGGATTTTGGCGGCCATATTGGATTTTTAAAAAGTTGATCCCAGGCTGAAATGAATTGAAATACTATTTCCTGCCACCATGCCAAGTTTCATGCTTTTCACAAGAGGTGCACAATTCACCCTATTTTATGCACGGATTTCTTGGACTATAAGAGGAGATTTATGTACTTTTCTTCTTTTGAAAAAATCTCTAGTTAATGTGTTAATTGTAGATTTCTATGGACTTGAACTACATCAAAGGAGAACCTGTTTACAATAGTGTTGTTATTAGAGCGTGCGTAAAAGACAGCTCCTGTCTTCAAAGAAAATGACCATGCATAAACGAATTTTACGGTGGCAAACATTTCAAGCATCTTGTGTATTCTGTTCAGTTCTGTTCAAAAACAACTTATAGCTCAACTTGCAAAATGTTTATGAGTAAAACCTCTCAGATTACAATTGAGGTTCTCGTATTGAATTAGCTATAGGTCTTCATTGAAAAAAAATGCAGAGGCATATAAAGTTTAGTACTGGATATGTTCTACATACATTTTCATATACTATTTATATATGCTCCCAAAATGAAGTTTTGATTTATTTAATGAAGTAAAGACAAAGAAAATACGGGATACTTTTATTAACTTTCAAATAATACTCGTTCGAAAAAACTATAGACTCTTAACTATGAAATGTATAAGACGACAAGCATAAGAGAAGTGCAGCGAACGAAACAAATGCCAACAGATCGTAGGCACATTTGTATTTGTTGTCATTTGTAATTATGGATGTATTACAGATATAAGACTTGATGAAATAATAATTTCGAACTTGCATGAATGCCAGTTACAAAGTTACAGCCGAATTATCTAAACATCTTACTGTATGTAAACAATGAGAAAACTTTGTATTACAATAAAAAATAAAGTCGTTGATTTCTAAATATGTACATATTTATATGTTTGTTGATTCTCAATTCATTTCACCATCAGGCATGGACGAAAGGCCAAAACCAGGATCACTTAAAACAACATTTCACGAATTGGTCCTGGAGAAGTTTTTTGATGAATTTGTTACAGTTTGGTATCGGGAAAGAATCATAGATGCTAACGTTTATGATAAAGCTAGACGAGAGATTGACATATTGAAAGATAAGAAAACTAATAAGACAAAAAAAATGGTAGAGGTAAGATTTATTTTAAATTAAATGTAAGAAGTCATATAGCAGTGGATATTAGAATTTTGCGAGGGTGTGCTTAGACTTCATAATCCCTTATTCTATGTAATTCAGTAATTAAGCATCATAACTGTATTTGACTTATTTTAAATATTCTGTGTAAAATTCGTAAGCATATTTAGGCCAAGATGAATCGTCAATTGACATCATCTCATAATATTGTTATTTTAGAAAAATGTTTACGATACATCTACAGTTAAGCGTTTACCACCAAGTAGTTTACACAGTCAGAGTGATCTTCAGTCGGGAAAACGTAAAGGTGTGCCTGCAGACTTTAATTCAGCAAACAAATGGACTAGTGACAGAAGTAAAAACGTTGAAAGTAGACTTGAGCATGATTTACAGCTTCAAAATAAAGAACTCGTACAAAAAGTAGAACATTTGAAAGACAAGGTGCATGAGATCCGAGCTTCTGCACACTATGATTTGAAAGAGAAAGATGACCAGATTGTCAAACTAAAGAAACATCTTGAAAGTGGACTTGAGTATGATTTACAGCTTCAAAATAAAGAACTCTTGCAAAAAGTAAACCATTTGAAAGAGAAGGTGCATGAAATCCGAGCTTCTGCACACTATGATTTGAAAGAGAAAGATGACCAGATTGGCAAACTAAAGAAACATCTTGAAAGTGGACTTGAGTATGATTTACAGCTTCAAAATAAAGAACTCTTACAAAAAGTAAACCATTTGAAAGAGAAGGTGCATGAAATCCGAGCTTCTGCACACTATGATTTGAAAGAGAAAGATGACCAGATTGAGAAACTAAAGAAACATCTTGAAAATTTAAGAGAACAGAACAAGGATTTGTCAAAACGGCAGGTTTTCTTCTCAATAGCATTTCTTTCTTCCAATTGACAAATGAATTATTTTATATGTTTATGTTTAGAGTCATGATTTTTTTTTTGAAAATATGATCTGATCAGTAAAGCATTTTACACATAATATTACTTTCAAAAATGTATATGTATAAAAGTTTTGATAGTAATTTGTTATTTGTTATCTGGTAAGAAATTTTGAACAATAGAAAAAAATATGTCATGATTAACTTTGCTAGATATTTGTCGAAATCATGAACGGAATTGTTCATTTATGAAAATTTCTAATCTCACAACAGATTAAGCAATCTCTCTGGGGACGAAAGGCGACAAGGAAACCCCGATCTAGCCGAGTTAAGTGACCGCTATAGACCAACAGAAATAGGCAAAATGTTTTCTGAAGTTTATGACAATGAATGGTCAGATGCTTATGAGAATATCTCTAGAATGGACGAAGACAAAAAAGTTGGAATTCTTCATGGAATAGTGACGGTAAGAAATCTTATCTGTCATGTTCATCTATTGTGCTTTAGTCGCCATATAAAATTATGAAAATTTTGAAATTTATTATAAAAGATGGCATAATTCCATATACTATTATTCAATGACAACAGAAAGAGACGTATGTAGTTTTTTTTTCTAGTTAACTGCTTGAATTCATGTGACGATAATAATTTAAGTACATAAAGCACTAAGGGCACGTGGCGGGGTGAAAATGAAATTTTTTGCATGGTTTTATTGTTTCATTTATTTATCCTTTTTCAAAGATGAACTATTTAAAAGTAGGACCAAATTAAAAACATTTTTATATTATAATGTGATCGCAGTAGGTATCAATAGTGTTATTGTTTGCCTTCCCAACTGCATAATGTATAATATTTAAAGATGTTTCAGATAACTTTAACACAAGAGGGCTCCAACATCAATTTATTGCTTTTAAGCTTTTAGCAAGAGGGCCATGATGGCCTTTATATCTCTCACCTGATTATGAAGGCTTAATCCCAATTTCCATGATATTTGAACTGGAACAGTATCCCCTAGAGTGTAAACAGGATTTTTCCATATTGGGACTTTGTGACTGACCCCAGGTTACCAATTTTCGAATTTGACCTTCAACTCATCATATACGCTTTCACATCAATTTCCAGGAAAACTGTATCAAAACAGTGGACCGTAGTGTGTTCATATCGTTTTTAGCTCACCTGACCACGAAGTGGTCAAGTTGAGGTATAGTGATGGGGCTATGTCCGCGTCCATCTTCGTGCGTCGTCAACAATTGGAATTTTAACACTCTAGCAGTCACAGTTTTGATTGGATCATCAAAATTTGTCAGAATGTTTGTCTTAATGAAATACAGGTCAAGTTCGAATATGAGTCATCTCGAGTTAAAAAAATAGGTCACAGGAGCTAAACAAGAGCACTGCTAGGCGGAGCATTATATGCCCGAAAGTGTTTTTTCTTTTGTTAGTAAGGATGAAACATTTGTAAGACATGGGAATTAAAAATTCAAAATCCTCCTTCATAGCTGAAGAACCTATATATGTACAGTTGCTGTTTTCAAAGCACCACCATCAAATTGTAGTTATGCTCCAGAAACCACAACTTTCAGTGTAAAGATCATTGAAACCCTGACCTTTGACCTTATGACCCTAAAATCAATAGGCGTCATGTATTGGACATGGCTGCTCATCCTATAAAATTTTACAGCTGTAGGTTGATTAATACTTAAGAACTTAAGTTATGCTCCAGAAACCATTTTCAGTGTTAAGGTAATAGTGACCTTGACCTTTGATCTTGTTACCCCAAAGTCAATAGGGGTATTTTACCCAATATGGACAATCATCCTATAAAGTTTAAATACTGTGAGCCAAATAGAACTTAAGTTATGCTCCAGAAACCATTTTCAGTGTTCGGGTAATAGTGACATTGACCTTTGATCTTGTGACTTCAAAATCAAAAGGGTCCTTCTACCTAAGATGGGCAATCATCCTATGAAGTTAAAATACTGTGGGCCAAATAGAACTTAAGTTATGCTCCGGAAACCATTTTCAGTGTGAGGATAATAGTGAACTTGACCTTTGACCTTGTTACCTCAAAATCAATAGGAGTCTTCTACCCAATATGGACAATCATCGTATGAAGTTTGAATACTGTGGGTCAATTGGAACTTAAGTTAAGCTCCGGAAACCATTTTCAGTTTTAAGGTTATAGTGACCTTGACATTTGACCTTTTGATCCCAAAATCAGTTTTGATCCAAATATTCTGGAAATGTGTCAGAAAGGATGTTTTGATGATTTCTAGGTCAAGTTCAAATATGGATCATCTCCTGTGAAAAACTAGGTCACAGGGGCTAAAATAGAAAAATCTTGTTAGCACTCTAGTGGCTGCAGTTTTGATCCAAATATTCTTGAAATTGATCAGGAAGTTTGTTATGATGATTTTTAGGTCAAGTTTGATTATGTATCACCTGGGGTCAAAAACAAGGTCACACTGGTTGGTCAGGATGGTTGTCTAGTTAATTGTTTGGAGGAGTTTGACTATGGGTATTTCTGATGAAAAAGTAGGTCACAGGAGCTAAAAATAGAAAATCTTGTGAACTCTCTAGTGGCTATTGTTGTTATCCAAATATCCTGGAAATTTTTCTGCAAGTTTGTTTTGGTGATTTCTAGGTCAAGTTTGAATATTGATCACCTGGGGTCAAAAGCTAGGTCACACCTACGGATAACCTTGTTAACACACTAGAGGTCACATTTTTGACTAAATTGTCATCAAACGTGGTCCGGCTGCCTGTCTAAAACATGGTGTGAATGTGATTGATGGGTAAGGGGAGCGATCTAGGGCCATCATGGCCCTCTTGTTCTATTTTTGCGCTGTGTGTATTAGTTCTGGAACACAGATGGCCCATATTTTAACTTGACCTAGATACCATCAAAACAATTTTTTTAACCAATTTCTAAGATATTTAAATAAAAAAGAGTAACCTCTACAATCTAACAAGGTTATTCCATAATTTGGCTGTATGACAAAGTTTTTGACCCCAGGTGACCCATTTTCAAACTCGACCTAGAAATCATTATATCAATCTTTCTGACCTACGACGGCTGTTAGAAAAGTATCCGGAAAGGTTTCTTTTTTATTTTCATTTGTGCACTAATCGTGATGAAATATTCAACACTGATACGTTCGAGAATTATGCTTATGACCCGGCAGATAAAAGTAAAATATTTATACTTATGTGTTACCTACAGTCACTATGGCAACGTCAGGTGATGTCGATTGTTGCAACTTCGTCGTTAAATTGGGTAAACGATCACAAATTTAACTGTTTCTAAAGAGATCAAAAGTTGTATTTCAGACTTCAAAAGTTGACCGAAGTGACGTTTTTGCGAACTTTTATCTTGACAATCGTAATGTCATTGGCTGTAATATGACGTCATTTCCGTAAACAACAGAACGCATCGCTTTACTGTTAATGCAATTATGACGCTAGAGCAGCAGTATTATAGTTTTGCGTGCCAATGGGAAAAAAATCAGAGACGATCTCTGTGATAATGAATATCTTATGCAAAAGATATATGAAGAAATCAAGCATATATGATTGGTACATCATATTTAAAAACGATTCTACGCCGACCGCCAAATATCTTGACGACCCAACACCACGTCGGTGAAAACAACAGAAATTAGAAAACTGTTCCGGAGTGATAGAAGGCTAAAAGTGCGAGACAGTGCTGCTAAGGTCGGGCCTAAGACATTTTCAGTTCATTCAGTTGTTACTAAAGAGGTCGGCATGTCCAAGGTATGTGCTCGCTGAATCCCTCGTATTTTGACACTAGAACAGAAACTGCAAAGAGTAGCAGATGCCAAGTCATTTCCCAGACAGTATCGTATCCATGGCAAACGTTTCATGAGCTCAATTATCACAGCGGACGAAACATGGATTAGTGTTTTTACCTTGAAAATAAGCAAGATTCGTGCGGGTGGAAATATCCAGACTGTCCTTCCCCAGTAAAGACCTTGGTGAACCGCTTAGCAAGGAGACTCATGTTCGTTTTCCTGGATGCCAGAGGCGTGATTCTGAGCCATGCGGTACCGGCAGGTAAAATTCCCCAAGATCGGTTAAAGTCCTGCTTTGACAAGCGGATTCATAGATGGGATAAGTGTGTATCCTGTAACGGAGAAAAATGTGTGATTTTTAGAGGCGTGTGACCGATTTTCCTGACGCTGTATTCAATACAGAAGTAATTTTCCCCGCTCAACGTAGCCCTACGCTACAATAGATACTGTAGAATGTGAATTAATGCAAATGGTGACTTTTTCAACAGGATCATACGCATAAATCGCCAAAGTAAGAGTGTTGAATATTTTATGTAGATATGTTTGTAAATGAAAAAATTAAGAAACCTTTCCGGATACATATCTAACAGCCTTCATATTTCCAGGATATTAGGATAAAAAAGTAGCCATTGGAGTGTTAACAAGGTTTTTTTCTTCCATATTTAGGTTGTGTGTTTTAATTTTTTTAACTCCACTTGACCCATATTTGAACTTAACCTAGAAATCAACAAAACAACTTGTCTGACCAAGTTGCAAAGCCCTTGGAGTGTAAATAAGGTTTTCCAATATTTGGGCTGGGTAACCTAGTTTTTGACCGATGGTGACCGATATTCAAACTTGACCTTGAAATTATCACAACAATCTTTGTGACCAATTTCCAAAAACTTATATCAAAACAGTAGCATCTAAAGTGTTAACAATGTTTTTCAATATTTGGGCTGTCTGGCCTTGTTTTTAAACCTCAGTGCCCCTTATTCGAACTTGATCTAGGAATCACCAAAACAACTTTTCTGATCAATTCCAAGGATATTTAAATTAAAGCAGTAGCCTCTAGAGTGTTAATAAGGGTTTTCCATATTCGGGCAGTGTGACCTAGTTTTTGACCTCAGGTGACCAATACATAAGGTTGACCTAGAAATCATATAGATTCCCTTTCTGACAAATTTGCAGAATATTTGATAAAAACAGTAACCTCTAGAGTGTTAACAAGGTTTTTCCATATTTGGGCTATGTGACCTATATTTTGATTCCAAGTGACCCATATTCAAATCTGACTTAGAAATGATCAAAGCCACATTTCTGACTGCAGGATATTTGGATCAAAACAGTAGCCTCTAAAGTGTTAACATAGTTTTTCAATATTTGGGCTATCTGACCTAGTTTTAATCCAAAGTGGCCCACTAGAAATGATTAAAACAATCTTCCTGACCAATTTTCAGGATATTTGGACTGGAACACTAGTCCCTTGAGTGTTCACAAGGTATTTTTAAATGTGGGCTGTATGGCCTAGGTTTTAACCCCAGGTGACCCATATTCAAACTTGACTTAGAAATCATAAAAATAACCTACTTGACTAATTTCCATGATATTTAGATTAAAACATTAGCCACTAGACTGTTAACAATATTTTTCTATTGTTAGCTCATGTGACTACCTTTTAACCCGAGACGACCTCAATTCTAACTTGCCCTGTATAACATTGAGAGAAACATTCGGACAAAGTTTGATTATGCTCCAAACAAAACTGTGACTGCTAGAGTGTAAACAACCTCAATGTTGAAGACGCCTGGCATAGAACAGAAAATATCTTTCATTCACCCAGGTACAAGAAGATATCATATCGTACAACATGGACATAGACTCTTTACTTTAACTTACCTCGATTACTCCAATATTTCAATATGTCAACAATATTTATGCTGTACTTTTACCATTTTCAGAAGGCCTTTAATTTCTGTGATAAAAAATTCAATGAGCAGACGATGACTGTTCGGACGACCCTCCTAGGCTTGGAACAGGAATCAACAGAGGTTATTTTAAGTTTTTAACACATCATTTAAAACGACTTGGAATAGTTTCTTTCTATTTAGATAGTTTAGTATAATCATTGTCTTTTGATATATAGTAATGGCCAATTTGTGTAATGTACTTTTGCTCCTTTGATTTTTAAGTCAACATTTATATTATTAACATGAGCTTATTTGATTTAATGAAGAGAAAAACTGGCAGTGAGCAGCAAATAAATCTCTAGTCAGCAGGTTTGGACATCTAGGCTAATTTCACTTTATACTAGTGGTAAAGTCAACCGCTGTGACCACTAACCTTCATAAAGTATTAAGAAATACAATTCTTTACTTTCAGGATGATAGGCCTGATAATGAGTCTCAAAGTCCGCAAGTGGGTAACAAAACTGTCCGTTTTACGAACATTCAGGATACATTGAAAAATGTTAGAAAGGAACTAGCGATGGAAACAGCCGGAAATATAGCCCAAGTATATCTTATTTTCATTACTTTGCATCTTAAAATCTTAAGAAAAAATCAGTTGGTGTATTTCTTAAATGCTTTTAAATTATTCAGACTGCTATTGCATGAATATGACTTTTTCTCTCTTAAAGAGTATATGTCTATTCATATTTCTATTCAAATTACACAACACTACAACTACATTGTTTACCCCGTTAACTGCAGAGTTATTCAAGATGCTGTTTTCTTTGGCAATTTAGGGATATTTCTACTAAAAATATGTATTTTAGGGTAGACCACTCCTAATTGGCACTAGAAACACTGTAAATTTGACAACATAGGACTGTTTTATGCCATATAGGTCACCTGTATGCAAAATTTAAATAACATTTACCATGTGGTTTTTGAGTTATGGACATTTGACTGTTCTAAGAATTTGATATTAGAATGACCTTTTTTGGAAATGAGGAAACTCTAAATAATGCATTATATCATCATTATGAATGTTTTCCTATTGCCCATTGTTAAGAAAAAATGATAACATTCAGGTGACAAATTACACGAGTTTAATTATTATTTCTAAATGAAATGATTTTAATATGTATAAATGTTACCCTACGCCACTTTAAACACTTATTTGACCATTTCCCTATATAAAAAAACTTATTAAAAATATCCCTAAAATTTATCACAATAAGGGATTTTCCCCACAGTTTGTCTAAGTTTTCTTAAAAATACATTGGTTGATCTTGCAAAATATAAAATAATTTTACCGTGTAGTTTTAAATTGATTAAACTTTGAAGATATATAGATAATGTTAAAAAGAAAGAAAAAGAACTTGCCCCTTCTGGGGTTTGAATTCACGCCCCTCAGTTTCAATGCAATTCACAAATTATTCTAGCCTATTTGAATACCCTACAAAGTACAGGTAATGCATTAGAGAGGTCTACCTTAAGTAAAATCACATTGTACAACAATTCTATTCACTAGAACAACTTTGAGTTTTCACAACACAAATTTAGAGGGGTGCCGATTTAAAAAAATATCTCTTAGATAATGATGTCATTGTTAAGAATCCTGTATGGATTAAATCATGTTTTTTTGTAAGTCTTCTTGCTTCTACTCATGTTCAGTCATCAGCTATATATTTTACTTTAAGCAATTCACCAGGACACTTCTTGCTTTTGCCCATGTTTAATCATGTGCTATATATTTTTTTTATTTAAGCAATTCACCCCGACACTTGGGCAGTATGTCAGCGGGTTTGGGATTAAACCAAACGCAATCGACAAAACGTTGCGCATTTATGCGGCGAAATGTGTTGAACTATGTTGGTTGATGGCTGTATGTGATCCGCCAATGGCTTTATCCGAAGATAAAATTGGCAACCCATACGACTTTAACATCTATAAACCTTACACCAGGTCCATGAAGGATTTGAAAAACCCAGTTTTAAAATTAGCCATATGGCCAGCTCTTCGCCTTCATCTTGGAGGGAGTTTAGTCGCTAAAGGAGTTGCCCAGCCAGGAGAAGGAAAATCAAAGCAATAAACTTGCACACACGTACATATAACTGTGAAATCACAGTCATTGTTAAATAGTATGTATAATACGTGAGGTATTTCCTTTGGATTGCTGTGTGTATATTTATCATTCGGTCATTTCATTTTTCGATTGACCTGGAGTTCAATTACTTGCAAGAAAAAATAGCAGGAATTTAAATAGTCAGCAAAAGCAATATTATATTGTTTCTTGTTGGTTAGATGTTTCTTGTTCAAACAAATACAGAAAAATGTACTTTATAGAAATAACGCGGGGCAATACACACCCAAATGAAAATGTGTTTGAGTAATTAATCAAAACTTGTCTTTTAATTAGGGGAAGATAGTTATTCACTTGACCGAAATATGTTTTATCTTAATTATTTTTGTACTCAATACTCAATACAATTGGGTGCATTTTTTACTCTTCCCTTATTTTGTTGTACATCAGTCTTCATAAGGCATTTGAACCGCAGGGCAAGGCAAATTTTGACCTCGGGGTCATCGTTAATATAACTTTGTAGAAGACTTTAAATTGATGCTACATAACAAACATCTAAGGTGTTGCAAATATTGACCCTAGTGACATGCTTTGGTAGTCTTGTTGAGGTCAACAAGACATTACCAGATGCCGAATATCTATTCTCTTTGTACTTTTGTTTCATACAATAGACTGCACTATTTTCCTAAATAAGTCTTTATAAATCGAATGGTCCCCAGGGAGGTGACAATATTGACATATATTGTATAAAAAGATCCTAACAAGGTTTCATGCCGAGATATTTCACGGTGTGTTCACAGATCGAGAAATAATAAAGTAATGCATACATCCTTTAAGCACATGATACCAATCTGAAAATTTAAAATTGCAAGGCCTCTCATTATGATTCATAAGCATATGTTTAATCATAATATTTTTCCTCCTTGTAGTATATATCATGTTGTGTGATGTTATATTAAAAGAAATAAATTATAATAATTAGTATTATTTTGGTTTATTTTTTATTTAATAGCTTTAAACATTGCCAGTTAACACAAACCATCACTTTTTCTCAGTACAGTCTCTTGACCGAATATAAAACAAAATTAACAGCACAAATATAAACACTTTCATCCGTTTTCCCAGTTAAGTCACTGTATCAAGTGTTAAGAAAACAATGTATACAACTTAAGCACAATACCAATAGATAAATCTTTAAATACCATTATAACTGCATGCTACTAAGTTAATTTTTCTTACAAAATTTTAATACAAAATGAGGAAATATCAAGTGACTTTTTTCGAATCAAAGTACAACACACGAATGTTCAAGATAAGATAAGATCCATCAAATATCTCTTCATTAGTTCTTACCCTTTAATGATACTATAAACTGTAGTTCAAGTACTAGTATACTTGTCATTTCAATTTCCTATTTGCTACAAATGATAAAGACATGCAAAGGAATGGACAATACATACTTTTTATCACTTTACAATATCTTACATTAAATTTAAAGTGTTCTTTCCTTAGAATTTGAGTTTATTAACTACCCATCAACTTTGCATGTGGTTTCTTTCTATTATTTTTGTAAGGAATAATTTTGGATACAGTGCAAGGGAAACAACTCTTGAAGAGATATTTAAGTATATCAAGAATATCACACATTTCCTTACATAACAAAAGGGAAACAACTAAAATATACATAATGTCATTCTTTTAAAACAAGAACTGTTTCTGAGAAAATTGTGTGACACTATAAAAAGAGAAGAAAAGAAAAACAATATATAACCATTTAAAGGATTAGTTATGGAACCACTGTTATTTAAATATTATGGTCTGAAATAAATAAATATATATATATTGGAGAGCTTATTCATTTACATAATGAAAGAATCCAAGAACGATGAACTAAAATGAAACAAGATTGCATTTTTGCATTTGTGAAAAAATTGCTATGACACAGCATTAATATAGCAGAAGTAGTTTTTTTTCTATGCAATTGAACTCTACCATACTGCTGTAGTGCCTAGGGAAGGTCATATTGCAGCATGTCAAATAAAAGGCAATGTGCACTTGTGTCTAATGTTAAGATACAAAGGCCATAAAGCAAGAATTGATTCAAAAATAAAATAGTTTTTACTTAACAACAATTAGGTATTTACTGTGTTACATAACTGTATTACGCTATGAAATGGAGTTACATTTATATTTCTTAAATACTATTTTTTTCTATTAAGCATTACCAATTTCTAAAAACATAACATAAAAAAATCATTTACGATTTAAAATCATCACTATATACATGGCGTGAATCATTATATCCTATAATGTGCTCATATTATTTCCTAAATATCCCTGCAAAGCTTGCTATAGTTCATGACCTCTAATCATTTCATAAATATCTCTGAAAAGCAAACATTTCTCTTGCTAGAGGTCATGACCTTAAGACTCAAATCTTTTTAGAGAAAAATTACATATCATGTGCACATGTATAAAAAAATTCCAATATGAGTTGTTTTCCTTCAGACAAGAAGATATTTAAAGTTGTTACTATATGTACATAAATGAAAATCAATGATCCTCCTAGGCGGGTCAAATTTTGACCCCGGGGCAATTTTGGTAAAGGTCAACCACACAATGTTTCATGCAAATTATCTAACATCTAACCATTGTCAATTCAGAAGAGAGATTTTTTTACTCTTTACATAAAAGGAAAACAAGTTTTAGTATATGATCATAATGAAAATCATTGAACCCTGGGCGGGGCCAATTTTTTCCCCAGGGCTATAGTTTGAAAAATCTTGGTAGAGGTCCAATGTACAATGTCTTATGCAAAATATTTTAGCTCTAGGCCTTGTGGTCTTTAGAAGAAGATCTTTTTATTTTTTTCCTATAATTTATTTTTGTTGCCATGACAACTAGATTAATGCATGGAATCAAATTCTTTGAACAACTTTATCCCGCTAAGTTTGGTTGACTTTGTTTGGACAAACCATTTTTAGAAGAAGATCTTATATAATCTATAGAACACACACCTGTATAAAATGATGGCTAGATGCAATTATGACAGACAAAAATCCTGATTTGCCGTCCGAATGTCATGTATTGTAATGGTGCTACTTACTTTGAAGAACAATTATTAATCTACCGCTATTGGACCACAGGGTTAAATGACATGAACATATGATCTTATCAGGTAACAAAAACGCTTTTAAGAGCACACAAATGCAAAATGCGACAACGGCTTTAACCGGGTGGGCATTAAACAATGTGGTCAAGAAAGTGTTTGCAAATTACTTATTTGTGGTTAGAGTTCTATTCAGTGCAACTATATCTTTTTCAAACAACTTTTACTTTTGGTGTCCAAAATGTTAATAATAGCCTTACAACTGAACCATCTTTTAAAGGCCTTTTTTTACTGCTTTTTGCATTTTGCGTTTTGGCAGCTAAAACAGCTTTACCTATTCTATTTAGCAGTTTGTATGGATATTTACATTTTGTTACCTTTATTGCAAAATATTTCATAATCAGTATTTTTATGATGTGACAGACACCTGTTTTAAATCAATTATTAAACATTTTAAACACATATTAGCTCTCTCAAAAGAAATAAAATTTCTTATTCATTTATGTTGCTCAGTGTGCTCTTTAAAAAAAGAGGCATGGCAAAATTCCAAACAAGTACATAATAAGGAAAGAATACCAAAAATGTACATATGTCTTGTATATTAAGAAACTTATTAGTAATTTTGCGAAGACGTAAATATGTGAAACATTCCCACCATATATGCTAATGTTATATTGATATTTCTATCACTTTGAGTTTATTTATTACCAATAAGACAGAAAACGGCCGCTCCAACAGGTAGATCTTTGGACTGTGAATAATGCGACACGGTATTCCCTGACGGTTCAGGTCAATTTCGTTGTAATTGATCATTCGCACTGTACCTCTGCTCTGGCATGTAAGAAGTTATTAGTTCCTCGCGAAAGCGAAAACTAGTACTGGTTAACTGCACGACAGCCTGCCAAGAAACGATGTGGTGGCTGAACTGAGCTTAGATTGATTCAATGTGGCTTACTGTCATGATCCGGAATGACAATGACCACCACCACCACCACAAGTCGGTCCATTTCAATGAAGCATGCGTAAATAGATAGCAAAATATGGCATGTTGTTTATGTTTATTATATTCGCGCACATCAGGTGCGTGAATATCTTATCGGCTGATTTGATATCGAGTTCCTTAAACACAATCATGATAGTTTGTAGGATACTTCTTAGTTTAATTTTATTATTTCATTCATGATTTATGTTTACCGGTTCATGAAAGATATTCTATCATAAACACAGATTATGATTTATACATCTTGTGTCAATTAAGCTGCTCTTATCTCCCTTGGATTTTAGAAAATTTATTAACTAAATTCATTTTAATACTTTCGGAAATGTTTCCTAGCCTAAATAACAGCTTTTGGTGTATAATATAATATTGTCATTCCCACTCCGTTCACCACTGCATTTTATATCAAATGTGACATTTTGACAACACCTAATCTAATACAATTAACATTAACGACATTGCAGATTTGTAACCTGATTATCTTTGCAGATCATTTATCTCGGCTGTACACTAAAGTGTATATATTCATATTCAATAAAGAACAAAAAAAAAACATACAAATACTAGTTCGTCATTGAATTAAATTTAAAAAGCTAAATATATCATTGAATTATATAAAATTTATCAATGCACTTTTGGTGATATGGATTTTTTTTGTTTTGTTTGGTTTTAAATATGACACACGGTTGATTACAAACGAGTTCATTTACATTTTTAACTATCAATTATTGTTCAATCACCCTCAAAATAGCCAATCTTTTGAATTATACAACTAGCTTATCTCAGCAATAAAATGAGCATAGTGTCACTAATGACATATACCCTAACACTAATGAATGATTTTGTAAGAAGAACAAAATGGGGTTCTAGCAAATGTGAGAGAGAAATTGTGAAGGATAATATGTTCAAAGAAGGAAAAAAAGAAATACATGTAATGGTAAAAAGGTTATGTTCTTATTAAAATGTTGTGAAAACATTTACTTTTTAATATCTTTTATCCAAAATAAACACGCCATGAAAACAGTGATTAAGAATTCCCTTTTCTATGAATAAAAGTATGTTCACTAACACATGCAATAATTGATATTGTATTTTAATGACGTAGTAAATATTTGATATTTACATAACTTTATTTTATACATAATTTTGCTAGATACCATATCTGATAAAAAGTGCTTCATATGTTAACAATATATAGAGTACACTTCAAACATCATGGACACAAATCAAGCGATGTATTATTCAGCTTCTCGAGGAAGGGCCCTCGATGTTCCTCATCCCTTTGTAGTATCTTTTTTTAAGCTGTATATTTAAACATTTAAAGTAATTCTCTGAACAACGCAAAGATCAAGGTTCAGTTTCATTCCAAGTTATCATATACTCACTTTTAAAAGTGTGTTGTATTACTTTAAGAGGCAAAATTTGTATTATACAATATTTACACATGTACAAATGTTATGTGTCATCAAGGGTGCGTTAAAGATCCTGTGAAAAAATGAAAGACATCTAATAAGAAAAATTAAAAGAAAGAAGAAATGCTATTTCCTATACTAAATATAAAAGGTTATACATGTAAATTGATTAACATCGAGAATGTTTACTCTCCATTGGTTGTTTAATAGAGAAATTCATGACACATGATGTTGTAAGATTTGCAAGATATGTATGTCGCGTTTAATGATAAAGTAAAATTGAAAATAAGATAAATTTTACTCGTGATATCAAATAATAAAGTTATCTATGTCTTGTGGTGATATTCAGTTTCAAACTCTTGGTCAAGTTATCTTTGCAAATACAACGGCTTTCTTTTATCTCCTGTTGGTTCTGCAATACCTTTTGTCAGAATATTAGAGTCTTGAAATAACGCAGGCCATACACAAAATTCTACTGATGGCTGTTTAAAATCAGCGACCTTTCTTGTGTATGTTTTGTAAATATTTTCATCAAATGGAACATCCACTTCGTCTTGAGAGACCGAAACGTTTTGAATGTAAACTAGTAGCAGCCAGCTTATCTCGGCACATTTAACAGCATACCGTCGCACGGCTGAGTTTTCTCCACCAAGTTTGATGCCATACATACTATGTAGACCTTGTAGTGAACGGGTTGAAAAGTCCTACAGTATGGAAATACAGAGGGTATTGTATTTTCTATATATTTATAGAGTAAATATTAGTTCATCACGCTTTTCTATTTACCACATTGAAGGCAGATTATGCCTACGAAACATTTTTTTCTTTCAGTCATTATGAAAGGGCAAACATGAGTTTTACAGCATTAGAACACGTTAGATGCTTGTTACCTGACGAAAGTAATGCTTTGAAATACGAAATTAATTCTCATAAAGGTACCAAAAATATAAGCCAACTATTATTTTTACTCCCATACAAAATACGAAATCACTGTAACGGTACTAATTACTAAAAAGCATCAATCGAAAGAGATGTTTCAGGTAATTGACTAATGAGTAACTTGTTTGAAAACTACAAACCTACACCCCCCTCCCCCAAAACGGCTGATGAGAAATAAAAGCAGTTCTGGTGCATAATAAACCTTTAACTGGTAAATTAAAAGGAATTCACATAATTGTTATCAGAAAAGTAGCTTGTTAAGGTGACAACAGACAATTTCCGAGGTACTCACATAAATGTCATTTAAACCAACTTATTTTAGTAATAATTGTTATTTATTTAATCTTTGTGCATTAAATTTCGTTGATCATCATAAAAAATAACATATTTGAAAAAAATGCCTTTGTAAATGATTGATTTTTAATAAAAATCCTAAAATTTTAAATCGTCATATCAAAGTCATTTTTTATTTTTTTGTCATCAAACTTTTGGAAAATAAACATACTTATAATATCTGGGGAACTTGTCTCAAATTTTTTCTATCTTTTCTCAAAAAAAATTACGTAACGTCAAACATTTTATGCGACTTTTTTCAACATACATATTACGTAATTAATGATAATTAAGTCGCTGATTGCGCAAACAAAAATCCCTGACACGGTTCCCTCCGTAAATGAATTCCCTTTCATGTGCTTTAAACCGCATGTTAATTACTTAATAATTAAAAAAGTTATGCCGATTCAAAGTTAGTCCGACCTGCATCAAACGAAGTGTCATAAATCGGCTGTTCTCTCTCGGACCCCTACGTTTCACGCTAAATAATTGCATAATACACAAATATCGCACCAGAGAGGGCCACAGGTTGCGGTAACATACTCTAACAACATTTTATGACCCAGTGACATCTGACCAATTAAAAAGTTGCTGATTAATATCAGTTTCTAACAGAAATTTCTTCAAATCTTAACGTGATTTACCGTCAGTCTGGTATCGGTCGCACATGTCACGTGACTTTCGGTAAAATTTGAGGCACTCGGTGGGGGGAAATGGAAAGTATTTGCGCACCGCTAGCGGGGTATTTAATTGTTTCACTTTTGAAGTTTATTATTATTATCATCAGCATTATTATTATATTATACCAGTGTCACTTTGCCTGTGTATTCGTGTATGAAATTCCGTTAAAATATAAATTAAAATATCATAAAAAACTGAGCTTCTGACAGTCTTTTAAAGTCCATGGTAGATGTACAAATAAGAACGGGATATTATATATTTTTTCCTCCAAATTGATATAAATGCTTCACATATTTTAATAGAAATAAAAGGTATCACTCGATCATTATGATCTGACCTTCTTGACTTCTATTATCATGAAAATCATCTATGCACGGCATAGAGATCCAGTTTCTACTGGGATATACAATAAAATTCCATACTTTGTCCCAGGTTTATTAGTACTGTGTCCGATTTACTAGCAAACAATTTATTCAAAGCATTCACTGATAATATATTTTATTATCTTTTTGTATTGATTCATAGAGAAATAATCATCCTTAGACAACCTAAAATGGTTTAGAAATTTGTCAGGGACACCTTACCACAAGTCGTTCACATAAAAAAATGTTGTCTGTTTTTGTTGTTGTTTTACTTGACATTGTTAGAAAACGAGGTTGAATGTAAAGCAAGCCCTTGAACCCGTACAAAAGTCCATAAACTCAATGTAATATCTATCAGATTAACGGGACAGACAAATTATTTTCACACATTATGGATATTTTAGCAACTATATTTTTAATCAACCCCGTGGTCGTGCGATTTGCCGCTATGCTTAATTATTTATGTTTCATACAATTCATTATGTTACGTACATTGGCCGACAATTTCTTATTCTATAAAAAAAGGCTTAATAAAAGGTAGACGATATAATTTTGAGATTTTCGTAAAACATGTACGGTATTTGTACGATACATGAATTACGAGTAGTATGGACCAGTATTGACCGGTAATTCACGCATATATGGAACTACCGATTTCCCTCATTGATGCCTCAACAGGGGGCGGAGCGTTATCGATAATTGACAGGTTACGCGAATAGCAGATAAAAATGGTACAGGTGCCGTTTTAAAACGTTTAAAAACACATGTTTTGGACTAACTGCTTCCAAAATTAAATCACGAATGTGTTCAGAAAAGGTTGATAAATATACTAAGCAAAAAATCTCATTTTAGGTATTTTCAGTGATAATTGACTCCGTTGTCACCTTAAGCAAAGTAAGGCGAAACTTATTCAAGTCGAAGAATTACTGTTCCGTAGTAAGCATCATATAAATTAAGTAAACATACAAAAATAACATACAGATTAAAGTTTGAAATTAACTTTAATGAATTTTAAGCAGTGTTATTTTTCTTAGAAATTTCAAATACCTGTGCAATGTCTTTGACTTATTTCAGTCGACAGTTGCATTCTTAATCCCATCTAGGCTTCTGTAATTTTTTAAACGGATTTCATCTTTAGTTTGTTCCCTTCAAGCCTGAAAATGTTTGTTTACGCAATTGTAAAATAAGTATTTTTCAGGGTTTGACTGTAGAATGAAATAGTTTTATAAAATTTTCTAAGTCATTCAAAATGATTTTAAGACAAAAATCATTTCGACTATTGTATAAATGAGAATGTAACGCTTTTTAATAACTGATTTTTAAATTACCTGATTTCATAATTTTCAACGTTTCGATCTGTTCTGCAATCTTTTCCTTGCATAATGTAAATGAATATTCTGGAAAGGTAATTTCAAAAGTAAATATCGAAGATCGATGAAAAAAATTTGTAAAATGTAAATTTTTTTTTACGATCACTTACTGAAAATTCAGGCAATGGAAAACGTACAAACAACAGGAATTGTCACAAAACCAGTTTTTCCGCCAATAAAAGTAGAGCATTTTAGAAATGCCAGATAATTTTGTGTACATAAGAGTATTCCTTTATGACTGACATATGAAAACAACAATAAGAACAACAAAAAAGAAACTCTTTATGTAACATATAAAATCAACAACAAAGGGTCATAATTTTGCATAAATAATTAAAAAACAATGCACTGACAATATGCACCAGCGTACTTCGGCAGGCCCGTGAAATGTTTCTTTGCTTTAATCCTTAAAAAATGTAGGAGTTGGGCAGTTAAAATATATTTTCATATACAATTTATACTAGATATGTTGATAAATAAAGAACAAAAACATAAGGGATGGTGGGTGAGTGAAACAAAGGGTGGCAATTTTATGAAAAATTATGAAAATCACAAACCCTGACAACAACGGACAGAGGATGCAAGATTGTTTGAGGAATCAGAAAGAAATATTTTTGAATTGGGTAAACGAACCCATACATTAAGTTTGTCCTAAACATGTTTAATTAAATAATCCTTATGCATATGTCAACATATTGCAAGAAAAAGCCACAAAACAAAGATTATTACACAGTTTGACTGAATATTTATCTAGTAAAACAGATAATTATCTGATACTTAAGTTAAGAAACACAAATGTTTTATAGATAAACAGATAATTATCTATTATTTAACTGGTAAGTGTTTGTAGTTCTGGGCACTTTTTAGTGTTTTTTAAAAGGTAGATACTTATTAGTTATTTGTCTTGCAGAAAAGAATAACTACATTGTATAGTTAGTCTGATAAACATCTGTTATTTTCCATGTTAACACGAAAACTAACTAGTAAGTCAGATAGATAACGCACTAATTATGTGTTTAACTGTTGGCAGAAATACGCCGCCATAATCTTACACGTTTATGATATTTTGTTTAATATTAAATTATTATTAAGAATACCATTTATAAGCTGGAAATGTTAAAAAATTGTTCAGTTTATAATGATTTATACCATTATTATCCAATGTAGAGCTGCAATTTGTTTTTCTTCCTTCTTAAGGGTCAATAGCTCGTCGTATGCATCTGTCCAATTATTGTCGTATAATTCAATAAACTTGTCCACCAGACCACTTTGGTCATTTTGAATACTAACTTTACTGCACTCAGAAAGAAATAATAGTTTTTTACATTCCATGACAACTTTTTGCTGCGTAAATCAATCAGTAACTAGTTATAAATTAAGGAAACCGTATATTACATAATATAAACCTTAATCGATATAATAACAAATAGAGAAAAGCGATAACAATAGTTGAAATCGTTTATCAAAAGACAGATGTAAGAGCATATAAATAAAAAATGGAAAACTCATTAATGTACACAGAGAGAAGTGACAGATGCTTTATTAGAACAGAACAAGATAGACGCAAAACACCATCATCAACACGATTGAGGTTAACATGATTTCTTTTCAGTCTTAAAGGATGATCTACAACAATTTCATAAAAGATACGCATCTTGAAATTTGCCCTCTTACACAAAGATAAAACAAAGGTAAGTGTTATCGAACTTTTGTTGTTGCGATAATCTCTGAAAATGGGGAAGGACGATGGCCACATATTACATTGCACATAACACATGTCATATTTACAAATGACACAGAAGCCTCTAAAGCTGCAACCTTCCTTAGCGTAAGTATAATTTTAGTTTTACTTTCATTAAAAACTCCATGCCTTTGAACTTAGGTCGGTCGCTGTAAGGGACGCCCTCTTGTTGCAACCGAACGTGTTCCAGAAAGCATTTATACGAAACGCCATAAGAACATAGATGTGCATACTACAGATAGACTGCTTAAAATGTGGTGTTGAGTTGCACTTTTAATATCTTAAATGAATTCTTCCCGCATGACATCAGAGATATTGCCTAATTTGAACATTGTATCATGGATATTTACTGTACTGTACAGTAGGTTTTATAACTATTGTATTTGTAATATGAAGAAAAAAGACAATGTTTTATAGAGCAGCACACGTACCGTTTATTTGTATTTTCAAGTCGTTTTTTAAGTCTATCAATCTCTTCATTTTTCTCCTCTAACTTATTCTGTGCACTGACGCTCACCTCATGCAGCTTTTGTTTCAAACCTTTTATTTTCTCTTCAAGCTCCTTATTTTGAAGTTTCAAACTCTGTAAATGACGTTCAGCGTCTACAGACACATCTCTGTCTCTTCCTAACTCTGGGCGCATTTCAGCATATCCCCGGCTGTGTAGACTACTTGGCAACATTTCATTGTCAGGTTTATCCTCTGTCGTCTTCTGAAACATGAGTTAATGCTAATGTCCGTTAAACTTTGATTTCAAAATGGACATAACTTTACATAAACTATTGAAATAACATGTGGCAATGCATGAAGTGTGAAATAATGGCAATGCATGAAGTTTGAAATAATAACTTTTAGTTTTTGAAATAAGTTCAAATATTTTGGCGTATTACCTTTTCACATACAAATGATATAGAGAATATTTGTTTGTTTTGTGGGTAAGATGAAATTTTATTTCATCGAGTGGGCTTTAAAAACATTATTCTGTTTTTAAAGTTCACGAGATGAAATAAAATTACATCTTACACAACAAACAAATTTTCTTTTTATTTTATGCTTAAAACAAGTTAATACGAAGTTTCCTTAATATTAACTTTAATATTTAAAATCTGTTTCTCCCTCTGAGAGCCTCTATTAGTCGAATTTCTCATAAAATACAAGAAGTCTTGGGCTGAAAAATAAGTTCGACAATCAACGTTAAATGGCGGTGATATTATTCATTTTATTGAAAAAATATGAATGATCGCTTGTTTTAATAATAAAAACAAACAATTCTAGTAGAAGAAAAAGTCACACCATCCTACCTTATTTCCGTTACTTACTGCGAATTTATATTAGACGTTGCCTTGTGAAATGTAGGCGGCCGCCATTTTTAAAAGTTATGTATTTCACGGAAGGAAAACAATTGTTTTTGATTCCGAGTGATATCATTTGGTTTTGTTAGTCATTCTTTTGTTTCTTCTTTTTATTACTTCGCGTTTCTCTAAACAGCCCTGACAATGTCAGAGTTGTCAGCAAAATTAAAATTGAGGTATCACTTGGGGAAAAACTTGAAAAAGTAGTTTCGTTATTGAAAAGTGTTAAATCATATTTTGATGATTTATTTTTCACTGTGAAATTATCAAATATAATTTTCACGGATAAATCAGTAATCCACTGAAAAGCATAAAATACATGTAAAAGCCTATCTGTTCATTTAAAATAAAAGACCGTCAAGAATTTTAAAACATTTATTGGCAAGTATTTGTATTATGCACGCATATGACAGAATTGAATGATGCAAACTTGTCACAAAATGATATAGAGGATATTTGTTTAGTTCAGTGTAAGATCGGAATATATTTCACCGAGTGAGCACTAAAAGGTATATTTCACGAGTGGCGCAGCCACGAGTGAAATATGAACTTTTGGTGTTCACAAGGTGAAATATATTTCGATTTTACACTAAACTAAACAAATTTTCTTTTTATTATATGCAAAGAAACGTTTTAAAAAAGACATTAAACCTAATACTGAATGGAAAGCGCGCCAAATAATAATACAGCGTGACGTCATTTACGACGTCGCGTCATTAAGTTGGTTCCCAGTACTGTGCACGCTGGTATATTACTGAAACAACGTAAGGGGCTTAAATTCAAAACAGTGAAATTATCAAAGTGGTAATTTCACTGTTTCAAACAGTGAAATTACCAGTTTTATATTACTGGTATATTTCTATAAACCACCGAAAAGCATGTAATAAATTCTAATTACCGTCTTTGATTCGATTTGGAAATTATCTATGATTCTAACATTCGTCGTGATTTCGTCCATAAACGGCACAGGCCGTAAATTCCTTCGCACGGTTTTAAATCGCCAAACCGCTGAGACCGGTCATACTTTTTTATATAAACTCAACACATAAAAATATCGATTCGAACATTTATAACTATTGCATTACTTTAAACGTGAAATAAAAATATTTTCATACTTTTGCATTTTTCTCCATTTTGACATGTGTCTTGTCTTTAAAAAAGTCGATCTCTCTTCTAGCTTTATCGAAAACGGCGGCAGATATACAGCGTTCCTTATACCAAACTGTAATGTATTCATCAAAGAACTTTTCGAGAATTAAGTCGTATGACTTTGTTTGAAATGATCCTAGTCTGGGTTGTTTCTCCATCACGTCAATCTATAAATATAAGGAATAAAAATGTGCAAATGTGCATGCATAAAAATGATGTTCAGGATTAGTATTTAAAAAAAAACTTTGATTTATTTTCCATGTAAAAAAGGACATACCTCTGTACATAAAGATCACTTAATTATGTATCTCGTTCTACAGATACGCCTTTACATCATATAATGTATAATGTATGTGTTTTTCTGTCTATTTCTATAAATATGATATAAGTTATTACGCATGCTACAAATACGTGTCATATCATATGTAAATGTCGATGTGCTGTTTACGGAAACGTATAGCGACCACCCCTATATGATATATATCAAATGACATTTTTTATAGTATTATAGTATGTTTGTTATATGTAAATATGATTTGAGGAAAGAAATACATATTTAAAAAGATGTAAGTGTATCATTTTTTCATTATGTCAGAAAGTTAAAAGCAGTTTATCTTGCATTATAAGATAAAAAACGTACGATAGATTACGAAAAATACGTATTATATATGATTTACAACATAACTTGATTTAATTGCTTCCTTTATATATTGCGTGGGATTGTTCTGTCCTCATTATCAAATATAAACTGTAAAATATGTTATATTATAATAAAAACACCTCAAATATATATAACTAATACATATAAATGAACAGAAAAAATCTCACATAAATTTTAATTCAGAAATATTAACAGCAGATTGAGTAAAAAATATATATTCAATATCAAATAACAATTAAAATAATGGTCAAATAGATATCATGTGTTAAATAAATTGTCTAAAATTTTTTTTACTAACATGCAGAGGCGGTAGATATTACTAGATACATATTTCAGATCAAGTAAGTTTGTAAAAATTGGTTAGGTATATAATATGTAATAAATAAATTGTCAAAAATTCTGTTTTAACTAACATATAGGGGTGGTCGCTATACGTTTCCGTAGCTGTTAATGTGCAAGACTAATAAAATATATGTTATGTTATGTTATGTTATGTTATGTTATGTTATGTTATGTTATGTTATGTTATGTTATGTTATGTTATGTTATGTTATGTTATGTTATCTTATCATTATCGAACAGAATTTAGAAAGAGCATATTACTTCAGATTAATACCGGCTGTTAAAATAATCAAGCTTTTGAAGTTTACTGTCGACATCCTTTATAGTGTTCAAATCATTCTACTTAATAAACAAAAAGAAATCACTGAAATATCATTTTTATCAAGTGAAAAGTTGTAAATGTTTGATGATAACGCGGATTTAAAAAAAACACACAATAGTTATTTTGTAAACATAATAAACAGTAATTTTTAAATATGCGTTTAGTGGAATGAGAGAATAATTAAATTACAGAATATTAACAAATTCACAAGCGTGCAAAGAATGTATATTGAAAACGCCCCACATGTTCACACGATTCCCCTATCAAACATTAAAAAGGAATCCTAACACGCCATATGACGTACTTGTTCTTGATATCATGTCAATAACCAAATGACGTCGGGAAAATTACTTCTACGCTTAGTGTAGCACAACATGATTTCTTCATTAGCATGATAGATTTTTTTGTGCATGACAGTATATTAGTGTTTGAAATTATTTTTTGTCTAATAGGATTGTAGTAATTCAAATGAATCGTAACACATAAATTTTACTTCTTTTAGTGAGAAAGTAAATAATTATCGACTGTTTAACTACGTTCTATGCGCAGTAAAAGGCGTGACCTGCGTATTTATTGATGACACACTTATCAACATGGAGATATTTTAAAGCCGGGCAAAAAAATCTCTCCTTCAAAAAAGAATTAACGAACACATTGGGAATCGTTTTTTCATGAACATAACACATATGACAGACAGTTATGAAATTAACATATAAAATGAAAGTCTAATACAAATAATAATAGCGTCTATAGAATACTAAAAGAAAATAAATGCTTGTAACGTTAATGTAAGAACCGATTAATGCTGATGCACGTTTTTTACCATTTCACATTACAGATTCAAGGAATACATTTAAAAGTGAAAAATTGTTAAATGAACAAAGAAAGTAATTTAAACATTGCAAATGGCACTTACTATACACGTAAACAACATTTATATAAATTCAACTTTATAAAATATCGATGCGCACTCTTATAACTAAAGAAATATCATTAAACATGAAATAAAAAGATTTCCATACTTCTGCATTTTTCTTCTTTTTGATATGTGTCTTGTCTTTTAAAAAATCGATCTCTCTTCTAGTTTTATCATAAACGGTGGGAGATATACAGCGTTCCCTATACCAAACTGTAACGTACTCATCAAAAAACTTTTCGAGAACTAAGTCGCATGACCTTGTTTTTAATGTTCCTGGTCTGTGCTGTTTCTCCATCACGTCAATCTATTTATATTAGAAATAAAAACCTGCAGTATGCCTGCATAAAAATACAATGTAATGCGCAGGATTAGTATTAAAAAAACCTTGATTTACTTTCCATGTGAAAAAAGGACATATCTCTTTAAATACTGATCACTCAATTCTTACGGCGGTTATCATGGAATTTAATTCTATTCTATAACGAATATAACTAACGTGGTCTATGTTGAAATATTTAAGTTATATTTACCTTATTCCTTTAGAATGTAAATATTTTACTTCTCAATCCATTATTGTTATGACAGAAATCTACTTCCTTGTTAGCGAAACTTTTTGCTTTTCTTTTGTCAGTCTGTTTTTAAATGCAAAAGTCATTATTTTTCCACGATATTGATTAAATTTCAAAAGAAAACCTGTTTAACCTGTGATAAATGATCTATGTAATCGATTCAATCATGTTGTTATTGATATTTTTTATGACCATGCTTAAGTTAAGAAATAATATATCCCAAACTGTGATTTTATTGCTCAATAACATCACTGTTTGGAGTTCTGATGCGAGGAATTATATCACGAGGGCGTAGCCCGAGTGATATAATGATTCGCATCTGAACGACAAACAGTGATGTTATCAAGCAATAAAATCACCGATTTGGATATATTATTTCGATTCTAACACGACATCAACAAATAAATGCTGCCGTACCTGATATGTAGCTAAATTGCGCCTGATTTGTTTCCGTACTTATTGTCAGCGCGTCACATTTTAAGTGGTTACGTCACGTGTATTATGATTACGTCACATGTCTAAATATAGAACGTCAAACAGTGATTTTATAGCATAATAACACACACTTTCGGTTCTTCTATGTTCAATAGGGAAAAATGCGAGTCGTGTTAGAATAAGGAATAATGTATGACGAACACCCGTAAAGTTTATTTTCAAGTTTAATTATCTTGCAATAATAATTTAAATCATTTACTCACTTGATTTAGAGATGAAATTTGAAATCGCATCAAATTGAAAGTGAGTGTATGTGCAGATATAAGAGTTATTTACCAAAATGGCGAATATGTAGTTTCATTAAGGATATTTGATAAAAAGTATTGTATCATTAAAATGACAATAAAAACTTAAAAATAAAATACTTAGAAAATAAGGATGTAATATTAGATATATATCAAGCAAGTTACATTTACTGTCATACCGTATTATATCCATTGTAAAGGCCTTTATAAGCTCAACTTTCGGACCAAATCCTTTTTCAACAATTCATGTCTATATTGTGTACATTACTTATTGTTATCGAAATGAACTATGTTTAAATCAAAATAATGAAGTGTATGTCAAATTATGGCATTACTTAACTAAATTGAACAGTTGTTTTCGATTATTATGAGAAATTCAGAAACGAAAATCAAATCCAAAACAAGAATTTAAACATGAGCAAGACAGGATCACAAGATAGTACATATATAAAGTAAACTTATTGATTGAACGTTTATTTGTAAAAAAAAAACCCAATGTTATCTCGCAAGTTGAGAAGAGTAGGAAAAGAGGAGCAACTCGTATGATTATGTTACCCCGTTTTTCCTTGCATTAGTGCCCCTGCGCTTTAACCATTGCACATGCATGTAATAATATAACAAAAACGACAAAGTAAGTAATTTTCACCTACTATCGTTCAAAACAAATTGTCTTCAGAAACTGAATATGTCATTTACATGCATGTGCAATTTCGTCTCAAATCATCTTTGTAGTTTTTCATCAAAGAAATAAAAAGCAATGATGTTTTGACGAAGGTGATACCATTTTTATTATATAAAGTCTTTATTTGCAACTATTAAATATGCGAACTTTTACTCAATTTGGTCTTGATTTAGTAAGCTGTTTCTCAAAAGTATCTCGGCTGCCCTTGTGCGTGATTTTATTTGATTTAAGAGATAAATGCTATATATAATTGTTTACCATTTTGTTACAGTTATTTCCCTTCACACATTTCTTTAGTTATTGTTTACGGTAACTTCCATACGAACGCCTTGGAGGTTTTTCGTAGCTTGTACTTTCCAGTACCGTCCATGAATAATCTCAATCTAACCGAGCCTGCAACATTTTCAGTTTTGCCGTTGTGTGCGTTCTTTAGGGATTCAGTTTTTCTCTATTTTGGATGCTTGTTAGTGATACCTTATTTCTTTATTTTGTTACAAAGAAAATGTATAAACATGTTTCAAACTCTAGAGCAGTAGGAAAGTACAAAACAAATGTAAAATATGTATCATTTTAACGGCAAGTGTTTGTATTCTTCTGTGGTGGGACTTATAGATTTCACTTATAAGCAAAACCCCTTCATTATTTTACCAATTGACCATTTTTATAGAATTCTTTAGAATAGTATAGCTCTTATTCTGGACACAAGATTGCTTCAACAGCTACAAACATTTTAGTTATATAAAATTGGAAGAAGGCCTAAAAAGTATGTTTCATGTACCATTTGGAAAACCACGTTCTTAAATTACAAATAGTCTAACGTTCAAAAACGAATGTACTTTTCCGCTTTTTTGCAAATCTTAATATTTCTTAATACATTTATTAATTACTTTTTATCCCTTCTTATCTAATATATTTATTAATTACTTTTTATCCTTCTTATCTGTTTTGATGAAACCATTGTTTATCATATTGCATCAATAATAAAGATACATTTCTACACAATATATATTTAAGGCTAAGGTCAATAGTTATTCCATTTTTATCAAGGGCCTTACCCTATCAGGTACCAATAATGAAACAACTACATCAAAGTGAAAACAACATGGTGAAATAAAATAGAAACAGATATTTTATTTTGTAACGTATGCAATACAGTGTCTTGTTATACTATACATATCAAATATAATAAATAGCTAAACACATGATATAATTCAAAGATTTACAGTATATTGCAGACAGAAAAAATGATTAGCTATAAGTAAATGTACAAAATTTATATCAGTATAAAATCATTTTGATATAAAAATAACTAGCATTAATGAACGTTTACAATGTCTATGAAAAACGTTTTAACATTAAATGTTTGTATGTAACCTAAGCTTATCAACATATCCTTTCTTTTACTTTTTGCGAAATAAATAAATGTACATAAATTTGACAAAATAGACTTTTTCCGTGACTGATTCAATTCTATAAATTTATACATACTAGGTTTTAAAGGAAAGTGGATTATGGCAAAGAACAATCGGAAGCCACCACAAGACCGTTTTAATCCAGGAGACATTAACAAAATCTGGAAATGAAAATTATCTCTCAGAAGCATTAAAACAACAAAATTAATGAAAACTGCATACTCCATTTGAATGAGACTGTAGATGAGGGATAATGAATTAGTGCAACATCCCTCACGTCCCTACAAGGCGCTTGACAACTGTTGCTGTGAGTGAAGTATAAAAATCTGAAAATATGATAATCCTTCATCGACAAAATTACATGAAAATTGCAGACTCGGTTTGAATGAGTCTGTACATGAGGGATAATGAAAAGGTGCAACATCCCTCATGCCCCGTAGCACCGGTCTAAGCGGTACCAAATATAAAAGAAGTACAAATGACGTTATACTCGGTGAAAGATAAGGGACTTTCAAGCTGTTGAGGCAATCTCGGAGGCGACAAAGAGTACATAGACTTTCCCGAATTGGTTGGTTACTTAAAACCAAACATATTGTTTGTAGTTGAAAATGTATGCTTACCAAAATATGAATCAATAGACTAGTAAGTCAGAAAAGAAATTCTTAATTTAATCTAGACTTGAAATCTATCATGTTGCTTATCACTCTACAATACTGCAGAATATCTTGAGCCTTGCAATAGGATTAAACCTGAGCCAGTGTATGCTCTTGGAACTAAATTTGCAAAAAATATTTGGTCATGTTTGTATTTGTCACCTACCACATCATCCAGAGTTGAGCGGAATGATTTTATATTTGCTTTAGATAAAGAATGATTCCCTTTGAAATATCTTTTAAGATGCAATGTTTTAAAATGACAAGAGCTTTTAAACCATAAGTCAAAAATGGTTTAAATATCTCAGATATGTTGAAGTGGTTTAGAAACATTTCTAGAGAAACGACACAGCATTGGAAACAGCCATTGAACGTATTTCTAGTCACTTAAGTGACGAGGAGGGTACCAAAACTGTTTCAGTTAAGGTCGAAATTAGAGAAGCAAAGATGCAGCATTTGAATTAGATTATTAAAGAAATCACCTATAAAAATGTTTGAACACGTCTCAACCTGTGAAGCACTGAATAAAATGAGAAGAAAAGGAATAGAATAAAATTATAATACAAAAATGTAAACAATAATATGTTGGTCAGTCAAAAGCATAACATGGATTATTAAAATATTATTTTAATAACGTACATGAAGACTTGCTTCGTTGGTAATTACTGTTAGATTATATCACGTTAATGTGTCAGTCAATCTTTAAAAAACCGCGGGACGAAAAGTTTTGAATTCAAATTTTTTTTCAATAGTTTGTGCTTTTATGATTTTTTTACCAAATTAATGTGCCCCCCAGAAGAGGAAAAACGTTTTCCATTCTTTTTGGGGTAAATATAAATTGTTGTTTTCCAAGGCATCATGTACTATTGAACAAGTTGTTTCGTTCGCTTCAAAGATTTTTCATACATGAAATGACAGCAATTTTCCCGAGCTCAAACCTCACAGTTGTCATTATAACATGAAAATATTTACTTACATGTAGTTACGTTAAACGTCGAGTTAAGTACATTTACATTTGGTTAATTGCTATTTTGAAATATATATATTTTTTATATTTTGTCGTGATTCTTTTAGAGTCAAATCCGGTAAAACAATGTTGGTTCTATATTTGTGGTTATCATAACTTGTGAAGAAGGAAGGCAATATTTCCTGTATTAAAGTATTCCCAGTGCAACCAAGGTCATCACACTTTCTATAATTCCTTGACCAGTAGAACAAAAACAAATGGTTATTTCTTTCAGAAGAAATCAATCCTAGAAAGTGTAAGGGCGTTATTTTATTTGTCCTGGTAAATTCGACTAATCTTTTGACCGTTATATGGCTAATGGGTTCTCACTTGAAGGAAATCCCTAATGACCCCATAGAGTAATGAAGCCAGAGGCTAGTCCAGAAAAATATAAACGAAATACCAGCGAGGTAGAAAAATAGAGATGATAATTTTAGATATATCAAAAGCTTATATTCATTTTCTATGGTGTGTTCTGTACCTAACAAAGGCACCTTTTTAACAATTATGGTGGAAATTGTTATGAAAGTAAACACAGTATCATTGAAAATATGAAGAAGAAAAAAGGGTGAGTGAGTGAGTGAGTGAGTGTT